TCAATATCATTTTTAATAGTTTTCTCATCTACTAAAATTTCTTCATTTAATTTAAATTGAAACTTTTCTTTTATTAATATCTGTTGTTCATAATCGAAATTGGTGTCTTTATATATTTTATCTTATTTTTCTTATCATAAAAACTCAAATCATATTTTCTTTTAATTTATCGATTTTAATGATATATAAAGTCTTGAAAAAAAAGTCTTTTAATATAGCTGTTTGAATTCTTTCTTGCATGAAATGATACAATAATATCATTAGGATCAATTTTCTCTAGAATCCTATTTGATTATCATTTAATGTTTTATGAAAAACATATTCTCCATTAAGTTTTACTAGAATAGAACTATTTTAATTTTCTTCTAATTTGTTAAACGTATTAATTATTTTAATTAAATCAATTACAAATGGATTAAAATAAAGTATTGTTTTTAAATTAGATAATTGAGATTTTGTTTAAAAAAATTATTTCAACTATTATCAAAGATAATTTTCGATGAAATACAGTCAATATTATTTTCATGTTTAGATCATGCTAATATTCGATCGTAGTTTTTAAAACCTCTTTGACAAATGTTATTATTACAATCATTAGAAGTTTTGTTTTTTGTATCTGTTTTAGTATATCTATTGGAATTTGTATAACTATGATCTTATTTAAATAAAAGATCAACTGATGATTTTAATTCTCGATGTAGAATAGATTTAATAACTATTTCTTTTAGTAGATTAAGGTTTAAAAAACGTTTTTTAAATAAATCAATGAAATTTTGAAGATATTATTTTTATTTTTGTTAATTTTCATTATGTAATAAAATTGTAGATTCTAAACTATTATAAAAGCAAACTTCATATTGAGTTTTTTATAATAATGTTCAATATCATTTATATAAACCAATTCTGTTTTCTCCTTCTTTCCACTCAGCTATAAGTTTAAGAACACTTTCAAGATCATGGAATTTTCCATCTTTAATCTTACCTTCATATTCACTGTGATTTTTAAAATTATAATCGTATCCATCAGGTTTATTATCTTTCTATGAACTAGAATAATATTCTTCTTCATCCTTAATGCTAGATGTACTTTATCCTTCACGCAATTTTTCGTTAATTGTACTATAATAAATTTTGTTACCGATCGATAAAAGATGTTGATAAAATTGATCTTCTTGCCTTTTAATCATTGAAATTTCAGGCAAATATACTATATCAACAATATCATTTTCAACACTACTACTATATTCATCATCATTTTAATGATATACTTTAATAGATCTTATATCTTGAAGGGAAGACTTATTTTCTACTTTTTTACTTTCAATATTAACAAGATTTAAGTTAGGACTTAATGATGGATTTTTATAAATTAAAGTCTCTTTCTTTTTCTATTATTATCGCTTAATTTAATCTTTCTCTCTTAATATATACAATAATGCGTCTTGCTAATAAAAGAATCATATAAATAACGAAAGCAAAAACAGAAGCGATGTTTTCCACAGATGAAGGAAAGAAAATACCGTTTCTTTTTATAAACAGTGACAACGATTTGGAATATATTCGATTGTCTGAATCACTCATATTATATGCTTCATATTCACTTGTGAAATATTCATGTATTTTGAAATTCGAAACGTCACTACAATATTTTAATTTATTACTAAGCTGTAATAATTACATCTCACATGATATTACGAAATTATGACAAGAAAAAGGAAAGATTTTGAAATACATAATAAATAATACGAGAAATATAAAAGAAAAATAAATTATGATAAGTTTTTTAGAATAAATTTTTAGAAAAATATGATCAATTCATGAGTCAAGAAGAAATACGACCTGCTGCAATAAAACAGCAAGCTATAATATTATCAGGAGAAATAAATGAACGTTTACCATTAATTTCGAGATTATTTAGGAAATGGACAAGTATTAAGCGATAAAAATATAGTTGCTAAACTTTATTATCATATTGCATATACCAACAATTTAGTTAAGAACAACAAATAATAACTGATAAGATGAATATTGTAAAAGAAGTAAAATATCTTTGAGATTTAATTTGCAATCCATATTTAAGATTGTATATTCAACAAAATAGTTTACCAGAAATTCCTGAAAATATAGTCGTACTTGTCAAAACTGAAAATTCTAATGAACAGGTTAGTTATTTTGAAGATAATGGGTTTTAGATTAACGATGGAATAAATTTAAGATCTATTAGAATTCGAAATATTATTCTTGAGAACATAAGATTTTATGATAAAAGTGGGCTAATTTACAAAAATGAAAGAAATGCAAAACAAATAGAAACTATTACTAAAGGTACGCATGTGTAATATGGCCGTACGTCCATTAATGTAAAATCTTACGTATTAAACATAAAAAGAGAACAGCTGGGACAGAATTTAGAAAAAAAAGATAAATTTCTAGTAATACCTATGATTTTGTCAATTATGCCAAAAATTCTTTAAAAAATACTGTAAAATCGATATTTAATCAATTTAGGCATGAAAATTTTTTGAAATAAATAATTTACCATCAGTTCTATTTAATCTTTTATCCGAAATAATTGAATGTAATTTAGATATTTGTTTTTATAGATCAAGCTGAATATTACATGGATGTACAAAGAAATATGGCTCGACAAGATTTTAAAAAATCTAAAAGAAAAAAAAATCACTGGGAAAGTTAATTTTGGATTCCTGAGAAAATAAAAGAATTTTTTAAATTAGATATTTGTAAAAAATCAATTTTGAGCATCTTTTTTACAGTATATTTATTATAATAAAACTACAAATCTTTGTTTTTGATAAATTACTTGACATATTAGCAGATAAAGATGTATTTTTAAACATTGATCAAAATTTAAAAGATATTCTTGAGGGTGTGGGTGTGGGTGTGGGGTGTGTGTGCGTGTGGGTTTGAATAGAAGACTTCGACCCACAAACACACCCACACCCACAAACACACTCACACCCACCCACACTCACAGCCACAGTCACACCCACATTTACACCCACACCCACCCACACCCCACACCCCACACTCACACCCACATCCAGACCCAGACCCAGACCCACACCCACCCACACCAACACACCCACATCAACACACCCACACCCAACCCCACACACCCACACCCACACCCACACACCCACACCCACCCACACCCAACCCCACACCCACACCACACACCCACACTCACACCCACACCCACCCACACCCGCCCACACCCACTCACACCCCTAGTTCAGTCTTAACAATATCTCGGTCGAGTTCGAAGATGAGCATGATTGGCCGGGCCATTCCTGAGTTATTGCAAAAATAGTCATTTTTCCCTATGGCTTCCAATAGGAAAATCGACCTATTCCCACTTTCGTAAAAAACTTTTACTATCATAATCAAATAAAACTCCAACTATTATATACCATTCGATAGAGAATGTCACGAGCTACAAAATGGTATATGAAGCATAAAGAAACACGAAGGTTAACTCACCTATTGTCAGGATAATCAGACGGAAATAGGTTCTGTTTTCGTCCACGCTCTAGTTGATCCGAAAATGGAGCTCTACCTTCCGATTACGGACATGATAATTCGAGGTTTTTGGGGGCGGAGAACTCGAATCTATCATCCATTTGCGTTGAAATACCATTGGTTGAGCAGGGACCAATAGAAATCAAGTTATAGGAAAAACGACTTTCTTAGGGTAAATCAAGGCGAAGAGTTCAAATCTGAGCTGTATTCATCCCCAAATCCTATTGGTTGAGAGTAGCCAATAGAAATCAAGTATTTTATAGAAAAGGTTTGCCAGGATAATTTTGATGTCCACACATTCTAGAATGACTCATCTGTCTCATTCACTTTTTGAAGCACACATAACTCTCGGATTTAAATCCGAGGTTTCCGCATTTATTTTATTTCTGGATTAGATGAATATTATTTTTTATTTTTTAGACTAGATAAATTTTATTTTCTTATTTTTAGATTAAATAAATTTGATTTTTTAGATTAAATAAATTTGATTTTTTATTTTTAGATTAGATAAAGTTTCAATGTTATTTTTTAGATTGAATAAATTTGATTTTTTAGATTAAATAAATTTATTTTTTATTTTTTAGATTATTAAAAGGATAAATAAAGTCATAAAGCATCAATGTAATGGAATGGGATGTCCAAATTGGTTGGAGGTTCAAGTTCTTGTTTTTCATGCAGCTTTGATGATATATCGAAACAGTACGATGATATATCATCAAAGCTGCATGAGAAATAAGAATTGGGAGCTCCAGTCAGACTTGACACCCCAAAAATTAATTTTTCCATCTTTGGAGAGTTGGGAGGGGGGAGGGTAGGTAGCAAAATTTTGAATAAAATACGATGACAATCCACATAGTATACGACTGTGTACGATCGTTTACGGTGGTCGTATATGCGTCGTATTTCGTCGTATACGACACGACGATATACGGTCGTATACGACCGTTTACGACTATCGTAATGCTCGTCCTGTGTATGTAAAGAAAATTATCATTGAATCTATGTCAATATATATATTTATTGCTAGCAACGTATTGAATATAAAGAAGAGCAACAAGAGCAGCAACAACTAATTACAAATGGTATAGATTAAATAAATTTTATCAAAATTTGAATTATTCTTATTTATTTAGGTCAACTAATCATTGTTTCTGATCATACTGATGATGAAATGATGCCCGACGAAACACGATATGAAATTAGAGGCTTGGCTTCCAATTCTACTTTAACCCTTTCAATCCCGCATGGCATCTAGGAGATGACATGCAGAACGAAAAAGAAATATTTTGCGTTCTTTCGTCTTCTTAGACGACGAATATCATATGATATGTTCAAATGAAAATCACTTCGTATGGATACAAATAATGAATCTAGAATTCAAAAACATATGATTGTGATAGCTGACCGCAAGAGAGAGAGATTAAACTATCTTTTTTCATGTTCGTGCAGAACGCAAGAAAATGACGGAATTGAAAGGGTTAAATGCTGATTTACGTGATTCTTCAGAAACAACTGCTGAAACAAATGCTGATTTACGTGGTTCTTCAGAAACAACTGCTGAAGCAAATGCTGGTGAAACATCAACAATCGCCAACACAAACACCTGCACAGAAATTACTAAAATTATTATAAAAAGTACTGGAGAAGATGCGTGGATGATCAAACCAAAAGATAAACACAAATAATATGTATTTTTTTAAATATTTTCTTATTTTTTTGGATGTAATTTTTTCTAAGAGAGTAAATAAAATTGGATATATTCATTTTTTTTCATTTCTTCAATATATAGAAGTTAGTAAATAAACCTATACATATTTCATTCACCGTTTTGCATTTCATTGCATCCATAGCTTCTCAAAAGAGATAATTTTCAGAAAAACTTCTTTCAGAGCCTTTGAGATACCTGTCTTCGTTTTTTTTCAAAATTTTTGTATCCCTCTTAATACTACAACGCTTATGACGCGTATCACATTTTTACAATGCTCTGTACACAAACTGAGAAAATACTATGAACTTCTCAAAAGTTTTCCAAACAACTGCTCGAAAAACGATCAGTCTGAACTTTTTAGAAGTTGAAGGAAAATTATTTTACTTGAGTCTGCAAGCAACTTCGATTGTCAAAAAGTATAAAGGCGTTTTATTCCTTTTTTGAATTTGTTGTTTTTTGGTGTAGGTTACTTTATATGCTTTTTACTTTTAATACGAGCAAAGTGACGTATTAGAACTTGTAGATAATGTAACTGAAAAAGAAAACTCGTAAAATGTAAGTTTGATTTTTGTATAAACGTGAAAATTAAAGAAATATTACTTATGACTTTAGTTATTAATCATATTCATATACATTTTAGAATAAAAGAAACTAATGTTATTGAACGTAAAACAAAAGTAGTTCATCGTATCAGGTAAATATGATATATGTTTCATTACACAAATGTTGTTTTTAGATTTGAAAATGAACATGAAGTGAAACTTGTTAAACTCTTGGTAAAAGTCTCGGATGAGCTCATTGAACTAGCTACTGAAGCAAAACAAATATCAGCAATCTAATATTTCTTTTTGCTGCCTGTTTTATGATACTCATTAATATATACTCAAACTTTAATCTTTTTTTTATGATAGTTCATTGGTTTTTCAGGTGTGGATGTAGACGACGAGACCAATGTCTAATATTTTTACTCCACACGTACACCCATGCTCATGTTCTACCCAAGTTGCTCAAAATATGAAACTTTTCTCATTTTGGATGAGTCATAAAAAATTATGTGCTCTATGTCTATGTTTTAAGTTGAAACTTCTATGGTAACTATAACTCATGAAGAGATATGGCAATAAAAAGATTTTCGCTGAATCAGTCATTCTGTTCTTAGGATATAGTCCTGTCAGGACCCCTCCCCTTGGTTCAGATACTGACTTTTCGTGCTTTTCGTAAAATAGCCATAAAAATTCAACGATTCAATACTTTTTCAAAATGTCTTGCGTCAAAGTTCAAAAAACTCTTTCCTCTATCAAAGTAACTTATATCAAGCAAAATGCAAAGACCTTGTTTAAGCAGTTCTGGTCGTTACTTACGTTGAATGGCTCGTATCAATACGAAGTAAGTGCTTCTCGATATCGAAGTTGATTAATGTTATTGATAGAGGATATTATTGATCAAGTATGAACTAAACTAAGAGCTTTTGTCAAATTTATTCGATCAGTCATCATATTTTTCAATAATCTCATTAAAAGCAATATAACAAAGACCAAATGTATACTTCATTAAATGTATTATACACATCTAATATGGAACAGTTAAGTACGGATACATAAGAGCAAATTTTTATCAGAATTATTGATGTTGAATTTTAAACGTCAACATTAAACAGGTACAATATCTTGATTCATTTATGGATCAAGATTTAAACAATGAATAGCATAATCAATATAAATATTTTCATTATTCTTTAGGTATAATGAAGTTGGCATTATATATTTCTTTGAAACATAATTTATCAATCTCTATTATTGACATGACCTATTTAGCCAACTAGTTCCGTAACATTGAATATATTTAATAAATGTTCATAATCAGCTTAAAGATAAATATCTTGCTTCTTGAAGTTACAAATTCGAGGAATAAATAACACTAAAGTCGAAAATGAAAACGTCAGAAAAATTTGAACCTGTATTCAAATACTACGAACAATATATTAATAAATCTTGTAAAATTGAGTCTTGAAAATATCAGAGAAAAAAATGCTCAACATCACAATATTTTTACATTTGAATGTCTACATTAGAAATTTAGTATATTTATTGAAATGTTTATTACTTTTTAAAAGCTTAGAATACTTAGAAGAAAATAATCTATATAGTTCTCTTGATCAGTATGTTTCAATAATTTCAACTATATTTCAAATAATTTCTGCGAGATTTTAGTTTTACTTTATTTTCAATCAAATTTTTTCCATTTGTTAACTTAACACCAATTCATATTTGTTCAATCTCTTTTGAATGACGTCAAAACATTTCAATTTGTTCTTCATATTAGTAATTAAATCTGCCAGAAAATAGAAAAACGAAGCCAAATAGACACATTTGTAGTTGAACATAAATTATCCATGTATATAACACGGCATCAATAATGAAAAGAACCAACAAACAAAAATAAGAGTTTCATAGATTCACTCGATTGATAGAAAATAAGGCAGAGAGCGTAAGAAGAACACAAATATATAGAACAAATGTCGTTAATTGGTGTAGGAAGAGTGCATATATGATGAAACGTGTTTGTTACACGTGCCTATATGCTAGGTAAAAAGAATTTATATAACTACTACTTTTATTTATTTATTGATGAGAAGAAAAAGCACTTTTACTCTCGATGTGATTTTATATTTTTTATTTGAAGATTGAAGGTATAGAGTGATTTAATTATTTATTAGTTTCGAGTAAGTCTTTGACTCATCGACATATACTTATGTTAAATAGTACGTAACGTATTTGTAATCGATTTTTAAGTAAATATACATATTTACAGTATTTATAGTACAACGTTTTGTTAATCGATAGAATAATGTTGAGTAATTTAGATTCATAAGAGTTAGAATGATGGAAGGAATTTTTTATGTTTTAGAATTTAACTTTATTTTCTGAGTTTATTCAACTTATGTCTCATTGTATATGAGTTCGAAATTAAGCTCATTCATAACACAAAAAAGAAGTTCATCATATAAATAAATCAATTTATAAAATTAAAGGATAGAAAAGAAAGTGATATTATCTATTAAATATTATTTTTTGTTTTTCAATCAAATATGATACAAAATAAAAAATATTGTTCCAATATTAGTATTAATAATGATTATTTTTATGATTCTAGATTAATTATAGAATACGACCGTAACAAAATAAAATATTAGTCTAATGGCAGAAACATTTGGAAGAATACTAAGACCATTATTACCAGAAACAAAGAAAATCGAAGATCTTCCACTTTCAGTCACATCAAACACGAAAAGACATCCTAACAATACTATGAAGGTGGTTGCTTGGTGAGGAAAGAAAAATTTATCCGTTGAAGATATGCAATTACCATTGATCACAGATTCAAAAGATGCTATTATTAAAGTTACTAGTGTTGGAATTTGTGGTTCTGATCTATATTTATATCATGAAGAAATCAGTGGTATGCATCCAGGAGATGTTCTAGGTCATGAATTTATGGGTATTGTCGATGATATTGGAAACGATTTCAAAAATATTAAAATCGGTCAACGTGTTATTGTAAGCGCAGTCATTGCTTGTGGTTACTGTGAATATTGCAAGACAGAACAATATAGTGCTTGTGACAACACTAATCCAAGAAAATCCATGAAAGCACTTATTAGTTATCGATGTGCTGATTTTTTTGGATATTCTCATTAAACAGGCGGTTGTCAAGGTGATCAAGCACAATTTACACGTGTTCCATTTGCTGCAATGTTAATTTACTTCCTGTTCCCAATAGTGTTACTGACGAACTAGTTGTTATGTTGTCAGATATTGCATGTACTGCTTGGCATGCTATGGAATTAGGAGAAGTCAAACAAGGACAAACTGTAGCATTATGGGGTCGTGGTCCCGGAGGACTTATTGCTATTATGTGTGCTAAACATCGAGGCGTCAAAAGAATTATTGCTATTGATCATATACCAAAACGATTAGAAAAAGCACATGAATTAGGTGCAGAAACTATTAGTTATGATGAACAATTGATTATTCCAACAATGTTAGAAATTTGTAAAGATGGCCCAGATGTATGTATTGATGCAACAGGTTTTCGATATGCAAAAGAGACAATACATAAAATTGAACGTTTATTAAGATTAGAAACAGATGCAACATCTGCAATTTATGAAGCTATTTATTTGGTTAAGAAATTTGATAATATTAGTGTTATTGGTGATTATTATGGTCTTACTAATCATTTTCCAATTGGTGCATTATTTGATAAAGGTATTACATTTTGTGCAGGTGTTGTATGTGTTCAAAAATACTAGAAATTATTATTACAATATATTTTGGATGAACAAATCGATTTAACTAAAGTTATAACACACGTTTTGTCTTTAGAAGAAGCTCTTCTTGGATATCTATTATTTGATGAAAAAAAGAATGATTGTATCAAAGTTATTTTAAACCCTCATATAGATTCATTTCAATACAAATCAACTTAATATTTTTCAATTATTCTTCTATATTTTTATGTCAGTATATGTTTGATATTATTATTATTATATAAGCTCGTACTATGATTTTTTTCTTGTGTGTAATTTGAAACTTTTTAAAGTAAAAATATATCTTAGTATTCTAGAACTTATACGGAACGATATCATCATTAGTATATTGCAGTTTAAAACATTTTATTCATATTTTTAACATGAATATCATAGCAAAGCTAATGAGAAAATAAAATATTTCAAAACAATAAAAAAAAAGAACGTTGAAAGAACTTTTATTATCAACATATTGAAGATAATAGAAATAAACAACCTATAATAGGTTTTGTTGAATCACAATCGGTCATGAAATTATAATATTGTTCTAAACATAATACAAAGACAAGATAGTAAATATATCGAATATTCTAACAAATTCAATTGTAATCGTTAAATAATGTTGCTAATAAATGATACGTTCCTATTGACTAGTCACTTATTTTATGTCAGTAAATAGTTCAAATGTTAAGAAGGAATGGGTCGTTACCCATGTGAAATACCATTTTTATCATGTAATCGATTCGAATTATTTCATTCTTGATGTTTAGACAAGCAAAGAAAAACAGATGTCAAATGAGTATTGAATACTTTAGCTAATTCATTAGACTATTTCATAGCTACTAAAGTGTTTGAATATTAGATCAACGTCCAAATTAAATGTGTCCCATGCACCCAAATTGTCCAAGAACACAGAACAATTAATCAAAACCGAAATAAAATGAACAAAATAACTTTTTAGAAGTTTCGAATGCTCTTTATATACGTTGCATATCAAGGTACTGACTATGCATTCTGTTATTGTTAGTCATTACCGGTGTTTGTCATTACTGAAACTAATTAATGGAAAAAAAAGTACACACAATATAAAATAAACAAGTAAATGTTCATAAATTGTTATAATAAAATATTCGTTGTACATAGACCAATTATTAGTTACAGATTATCGAACACTCTTATGTATGTTATTCATGACCAGAACTAAAGTTATATAAGTTGTAAAAAATCTTGTATGTTTTTATCGTATTATACAACAAAATATATTGTCTACTGTCCAATGATGTATTCTTATCTGTTAATGATATGAGTGCGATTGAACTGTAATATTATCATTCCAATAAAATATTTAAAAAAATAGCGGTTTTTTTCAAAAAGCTTGCGTTAGAATGCTAAAGTCATTCAATTCTTATTTCCTAAGACTTCCATTTTACAATTTATTTACTGAGCCTGACAAATTGCAAAGTATTACAATAAAAACAAAAACATGTCTCATTTAGATAAATGAATATCTTATAGATGTTTTTGTCGCAGTCGAATTTGTATAAATGGGCTTCACAGATTTTTTTACACATTTTAAACATCATATCTTCATAAATTGTCGTTGAGAAAAATTTGATAAGTGGCATATGGATGAATTTTCAAGACACATGAAAAGAAAATAATTTCCTCAAATAATGTTATATAAGTTAATTAGCTAACTAACTAACAAGTTTTTATATTTCGATTTCAGATAAACTATTAATTTTTCTTTTTTTTTTTTATCTGTCCGAGTTTATCAAAACAGAATCTAAATATATGCGTCTAGTTAACTATTCTCTCTATACACAAATATCACAACTTTTATTAAAATGTGAAGATTAAAGCATTTATTGCTATTTCTCACATTGTAGTAATATATAGAAACAGAACATTAAAAGCTCTTTAAAACATAATTAAATTATATAAAGCAAACGGTATTTCGTTTTAGCATTTTTCGTTAGCGATCTATAGGACTACCCTACTCTACAGGGTAGGATAAGGACTAAGAAAATTTTTCTCAATGAAGGAACAGTATATGATAAAAGCTTATTCTGCAGACCTCTATTTTTCGTCTTGTACCGAATATTAATCGATGGCTTTATCATTATCTGCACGACACAATTCTTAACATCGGTACCATTGCTGGTACTATGAATGGATTATTAGCAAGTGTTTAGTATCATGTTTTGTGTTACATATGTCACTTGTATAATCATGAAAAAGTTTAATTCTTCATTGTTAGTCTATTTTCCATTTGAAACTTTTCATTCAATGAATAATTCGTATCGAACAAAAAAGAATCAATATCTAGACGATATTTATGCTTTCAAATAATACCGAACAATGATTATTACGAAACAATTTCATTATTCTTCGATTGATAATGAAACTTTTTGTATGTATATTGAATAAATGTTAAACAAATTTTCTTGAATATATGGTATATTCGAAGAAATTTGTCTACAAAAATAACGAATACATTTTAAGACTGTTTAGATGCAATCTTATTTCATATTTAAACACAGTGATGGAATTCAACAAGATGTACCGCTTTTTGAATAAAGCCAGAAAAGTCTTAAAAAATATTCTCAGTAAATGATAAATGTATATAATCAATTTTTTTTTTACTAAAGAAGAAAAAGAAACAAGTATGAAGAGAAGGTAAATTTATTCTTTTTTGAAAGTTCAATTCACTGGATGTTTACGAGATTTTAAATCTTCACCTAGGGGTGACCCTTTATCTTTACTTTCCTTTATAATAAAGCATAAAGATAAATGAATCCGTTATCTTTATTTTCTAAAGATAAATGATCCTTTATTTAAAAAAGTAAAGGATACCCTTTTTCTCTAATCATTTATCTTTAGAAAATAAAGGTAAAGGAATCATTTATTTTTATAAAATAAAGGAAAAATAAAGGAATAAAGGGTTATTATTTTTCGAACGAAATAGGGCTAAAAGTGTTCAAGGATTATTGGAACTTGCTTTGGAGAACATTTTTATAATTGAACGAATCTGTTTTGACAGAAATAAAATGTCGAACGCGCAAAATAAATTGCAGGTTTTTCATTAATATTTAGTGGATTTTAGCTAGAAAAATAGAAATTGAATTAAAACTAATATCATATTTTTAATTAGCATAAAAAAATAAGCAAACTTATGAATGTTTCGAATGCTTTTTAGATATTTCGATTTTTATCGAAAAATTTGCCTTGGTACCCCTCAGGATTCTGGAAACAAAAAAGTGGACTTCATCAAAAATGAAATTCGACAGGCACCAACATGCCCTAAACTTGTAAAATGATAGCGGCACACATAATGAGTATGTGTTAACAGATTATAACTACATCTTCGTCAAGTCTACTTTTTTGTTCCCAGAATCCTGAGGGGTACCAAGGCAAATTTTTCGATAAAAATCGAGATATCTAAAAAGCATTCGAAACATTCATAAGTTTGCTTATTTTTTTATGCTAATTAAAAATATGATATTAGTTTTAATTCAGTTTCTATTTTTCTAGCTAAAATCCACTAAATATTAATGAAAAACCTGCAATTTATTTTGCGCGTTCGACATTTTATTTCTGTCAAAACAGATTCGTTCAATTATAAAAATGTTCTCCAAAGCAAGTTCCAATAATCCTTGAACACTTTTAGCCCTATTTCGTTCGAAAAACAATAACGCATTATTCCTTTATTTTTCCTTTATTTTATAAAAATAAATGATTCCTTTACCTTTATTTTTTAAAGATAAAGGATCGTTTATCTTTAGAAAATAATGGAAAAGGAATCATTTATCTTTAGAAAATAAGGATAAAGGATCCATTTATCATTATTTTTTAAAGTAACATTAAATGACCACCCCTATCTTCACCTGAACAATATTTGTATTCAACATTGATAATATAATAAAAAAAAATGACATTTTACAATCCGAATTCATATCAATTGAGTAATTTCTACTAAATAAATATATTAACTGTACATCATAACATCATTGATTATTTTCCATTTCAATATCATTACTTTGTTAATTGTTCTGCTTAATATAAAAAAAAACAATAAAATAGAACTTAATGATAACAACAATTTATAATAGTTTAAAATAAATCAATCTGTCTGTCTGTTTGTTTTAATTATTTTCTGTCATCTTAATGAAACTATTCTTTGTTATTCAATGAAAAAGTATCAATATTGATACGGATCAATTGTTCATGAATGAAATTGAATCAACGTAAGAATCTTTTCATTGCTATTGAATTGTTATTTATATTCAGAACTATTTAGATTTTAATTCTGTTTTCAACGGAATCTATTAAAATTATCTTAAAATAATCATATGTATGCTGTTTTTTTATTTATTTCTTCAATGAGTATAAAAATATCTCAATGATATTGAAAGTATGCATAGAAACAAACGTAATATCGAATTGATTCATACGACGTGACTTAATTTAAATAATTTTATTATGTTTAATCTTTTATCATGAATCTTTTGATAAAATTATTTGAATGACATAGATCAGATTTTTTTTTACCAATAAAAATCCATTGAATTTATACTATTCATTTGATGTTTGAATAGAAAGTCAGATAACAATATATCTATATACTTCATATAAATAGAATTAATTAAATAATTGTTTTTTTTTCTGTCAGTTTTTACTATTGAAAGTCTTCTATAAAACAAATTTATTGAAAGTGACCAATTTGTTGAATGAAACTAGTGAACAATATAAATTCAATAATATATTTTTATTATTTCATCTAAAATATTCTTAAAAAGTTCTATTATTTTTCAAATTGATTCTATTAATGTTTTTAAATACAATGATAATAAAATAAGACGTATAAATCAAGTATATAAATATTTATTTAAATCCATTCGAGAAATTCAAATTTTTGTTAATTAGATATGTTTGATCATAACTTGAATTTATTTAATGTTCATAGAACTTGATTTATTAAATTATTAAAATTAAAAAAAAACATCGCTATTTGAACAAAATGACTAGTGAATATGTTTGTCGTTGGATAAGATAGATATTTCAATTATTGTTCATAAGAGTTATAATCTGATTGAATTTTTGAAAAAAGATCATTTATTTCAGTAACGACTTTGGTCTATATTAACAATGTTAATATAAGAAAAGAAAAATATTCTAAATAATATCCTACTTTTGAAAATCCTTGAGACCATTGTTCATGATATTCTCTCCGTGAACAATAAACATAGATTGATAGAATATTTGAACGTTCATGTATAACAGGTACTAGTTTTTCGCCTATTTGTCCACTAACAATAAGAATAATTCGTCTTGTATTGTTCATGATACGTCCAAGAAACCTATTAAAGTTAGATTCATCTGAAAATTGCATACAATCACCAAATTTTTCACATAGTGTATTGAATGTTTGTTTATTTTCTTCATTTTCTATGTTTGCATCAAGCCAAGTAAGGATAATATTACTTTGATTTGTCATATTTACACCTTGATCAACTGAACACGATAATTTGTTTTTGAAATTACTTATATATATAACGATTCAAACTATGGAACAATTCAATCAATTTTATCTATCTTCAAAATAAAATGATAAGAACAACCAGGGTTTAGTTTTTTTTTCTCTTACTTTTTCTTCGTGTACAGCACGACACTTTTCAATTTACCTTTTCGTTAAAAAATACAACAGAGTAAAGAAGTTTGCCGTATATTTAAGAAAAAGAAATCTTTTTCGTTCTGTTGCTTAAGGTAAATATGTCTCGCTTTAAATGACTCATTGACATGTTTTTCTTTGAAGTAGGAATTCCAAGCAATATAAATTTGTTGGAAAATATCCATTTATTAAATGAGGTCATGAATATATTTTTCATTTCCTTATATGGTAATATATTAAATTTAAAAAGAGAATATTGATAAAATTTATTTATCAAATTAATATATAATTCAATATGAAAATTTGATGATAGTTTAAATTATCTTGAAGTGTATTTGTATTTATTGGATATACATAGATTTGACAGTTTTTATTGACCATATTGATAGAATTGATCATTTTCTAAGTATTTCACATGAGATTTGATCATATATACAATAGGAGGAGAACAAATACATATTTTTCACTCAACTATTAATGTTCTTCAATTCATATAAGACTGATAAGCACTACTTTTGGATATAGCATTTATTATTGAAAAAGATGATTCAGTATTTCTATCGAAATTTTTCGATTTAGTTAATAAAATAAAATCTTGAACAATTTTATCAACTTTTCTCTTAATTTTCAATATTGCTGTTTCATATTCATTTTAAAGATCATTCGACACTTTATGTGATGTTGAATTGCTTATTTAAAGAGATTCATTATCCATAATTTCATTCTCTTTAAAAGATAAAAATAATTATTTACAGTAGAAGTTTTTCATTGACTTTGACATATAAAATTTTCTGTATTTAATTATCTATCACTTAATTATTGTCATTATAATGATAATGAGAAGCAGAAATAAAAAAACATTATCTGAAGATAAACATATAAGAAGATTTATGAAAGTAATGTTGAAATAGTAAATAAAAACTAAACGTAGATAGATTTCGAGAAGATCAAACAATTGACATAGTTTTTAATAGTTTGATAATTTATTCTATATAGTTTCTGAAACAATAAATTAACTATTATCATCAAAGTTGTTCTATCTGTAGACAAATTAAAATCTCTGACAAACGATAAAATCAAAACTATAAGTCAAATAGAATAACTAATGTAGGATAACTAAATTTCAATATTTTTTTTGAAATATTTTTTGAAAAAATAAAACTCGATTTAAGTATTTCGAGTGAAAATGTTTATATTAAAGAATAATTTGTAGATGAAATTTTATAAAATAAAACTATAATAGTCTTCACTAACAAACAACTATTATTGTTGCATTTATTAGAATTTTTCTTACGTACAGATTTTTATTACTTTTCTTTTTTCTTAAAAATGAAAAATAATTGTTCAAAATCTATTTTAATAAAAGATTTTTTTTATTTCATTTCGATCAAGAATATTTCATGATAAATTTCGAAAACATATATTTAAACAAAAAAATTGGTAGATGATACTATTTAAATTTTTTAATTCGTAACAATTGAATATAAGCCATAATAAAAAATGTTCCAGATATAAATAATAAGGCTACGATATTTTTCCATATATCCCAAGTTGTTGTATAAGATATATGACGACGTAATAAAATCTCTTCACCTTTCATTGAACATTGATCAATATCATATGGTAAACATAATGTTAAATTTCGAAATTCATTTATTGCTAATACATTTGATGCATAACGAAAAACACTTATCCATTGTATCCATCGAAGAAAACTAAGAATACTTGATATATTAATAAGTAAACCACTAAAAAGCATCATAGTTACATAACAACATATGACCATAACAAGAGCAACACCTAAAAACATAATATAAATATACGAAATAATATTTATTAAAATAATAAAATTTTAACCAAATGTTGAAGTACTAGCAGCAATAAAATAACACATTGATGAACCAAATATTTTTGCCATTAAATTTGTTATAAAAAAAAGAAAAAAATTTTCCATTGATTGACGAAGACCCGTCAAAAAAAAAGTAATTATTGTATAAATAATTGAAGGAATAATATGTACCAATGGAACATCAATTATTAATTTAGCAAAATAAAAACTTGATATTCGATAATAACCACTAACATTTTCCTAGAATATATAATATATAGAAAGAAATATTTGAAATTAAATAGACAAACATCATATTAATTATATTTAAAAAAACAAAAAAAAAACAAAAATTTTACATGAATAAAAAGTGCTCGTTCTTTGATCAATGGTTCTAATGCATTGACTGAACCAAGTACTTGACAAGAAATAATAAAAAAAATTGCACCAAAACGATTATATACACCTGTTTCAACTGTTGTATCTAATTTATTAAAAATTAAACCTGTAAATAAACCATATATAATAACACTAACAATTTGTGATGCAAATAATGATGGATTTCGTAAAACATTACATAATGTTCGTTTTGCAACATAATAAAATTCACTTGAATATGTTCGATTTGTATCATTTTTTAATAAACAATTATTTTTATTTTCATTTTTTATCATTTGACAAATATTTGAATACATTTTTGAATGAATATAAGCTGTTTGAAGTTTTGTTGAAGAATTATTATTTGATTGAATAAGTAGATCAAGAACAAAATCTGCTGGATTATCATGTTCTTCACAATTAAAACCATGTGAAGAAAAATAAGGTAAAACTTCAATAGATGGACCTAAATAAATATTATGACCAGAAGAAAGAAAAAGAACTTTATCGAATAATTTGAATATTGAATAACGAGGTTGATGAATTGAAAAAATAATTGTTCCTCAAAATAACATATATTTTAATTCATGAAAAAAGAAAAACACAAATTTTTTTTCTTATATAACTTACGTCCTTGTCTTGATAATTTATGTAAACAACTCATAACATTTTGTGCTGTACATGCATCAAGTCCTATTTAAAAATAAAATAGAAAATAAATTTTATTAAAATAACTAAAATGATTAACCTGTTGTTGGTTCATCTAAGAAAAGAAGATTGGGTGAAAGAATTAATTCCATTCCTATACTTGTTCGTTTTTTCTCTCCACCTGATACACCTCTTACAAAATCAGTTCCAATAAGAGTATCAGCACATGATTCAAGATCTAAATCACGAATAATTTGATTGACACGTTCAATTCGTTTATTCATTTTAATTGAACGTGATAAACGAGTATTTGCAGAAAAAAGAAGATTTTCTCGAACAGTTAATGTTCCACTGATAATATCTTTAATTAAACATAAAGAAAAGAAAAACAATATATGATAATATTCCTACCATCTTGAATAACATAACCAATAATATATTTAAAATAAGAAGGACGAGTTTGTCCTGATACAAGAACAGTTCCTGTTAATCCATGATTATCTTTTCGATCTGCAAGAATATCAAGTAGAGTCGATTTTCCACAACCTGTTGGTCCTATCATTTAAAACAAAATCAGAATATGACAAGAATTATTATATTAATCAAATTTTATTTAATTGACGACGACTAAATAAAAAAAACTCGAATATGAAATCCTACCTAATATAGCATTCATTCCAGGAGTGAAAACTCCAGAAACATCAGTAAGAATTTGTTTGCTTGGTATTGGATTCCAAAATGGAAATATTTTTGTTCGCCATCGAGTTGATGATTTATTTTTAACTGTTTTATTACCAATAATATAATTAATATTGTAAAATGAAATTGTTACTAATTCAAATTCATTTTGATTAAATGATATTTCAGTTGATTTTTCTTTTTCTTTATTATTAACAACTAAATCATGTTGATGATGATTAATTGAATCTAATTGTGTAGATTCAATAATAATAATATCATTATAAACAGGTGTTGTTGTTGTTGTTTTAAGTAAAGGATAAACAATATCTTCTTTTTCATCATTTGTTACTATCAACGTTGTCATTTTTTTTCTAACTTATTATTGTAATCTAACATCGAACAGCTTATTTTTTGATAAAGAAAAAAAAAATGTCAAGAATATCACGTATACTTATGTTATCATGACTACTTGAATTGAATTACATTGTTACGATATCGTTAACTCTTTATTTCAATAGTAAGTAAATTATTCTTAAGATCTATTTTAAACTATGTTCATTTTATGAAAATTTTTCTTTTTTTAATTTTAATTCATATTCATATTCAATTCGATTAAATTAACAATCGATTTTGGTCGATCAAATAGTTATGTTTAGTCTGAACACTTCTCAAATATGCATTAAATCATATATAAATCATTTGATTGTTTCGAAATTAGATATAAAAGAGAAGTTTTTTTTTTTCTATTAAAAAATAACACAATTTGAACTTTCTTTTTTATTCTCATTCTTTAGTTAATTATCCAAAATAAAAATAAAAATCCTATTAACATCGTTCAAAAACTTTATATAATTGTTGTATTTCAGTTAATTTAACAAAAGCTTGTCGTAAATGTTTTGATGGTACAAGCATTGTTTTAAATGCATGATAAAGTAAATGTTCAATAGCCCAATGTTGTTTTTCTTCTGTATCTCCATCTTCTTCTGAATAAATATGCATACGATAAGAATAAAATTTTGATATTTCATCAGCAAATGTTCGAAAACATTCACGTTCTTCTGTCCAATTAATTTCTTTAGATAAACGAAGAATAAATTGTGGTAAATAATCAAGATTAGGTATATATGTATCAAGTAAAATAGGAAGAGTTTCTAAACGTATTGGATCTGTTGATGATATACGAAATGAAAAATAATCTTCAAGCATTTCATGACGTTCTTTTAATAGATCAATAACATATTCAATTATTTCTTCATTATCTGTTTCAAGACGAATAAGTTCCTAAAAAAAAAAAAATCATAAATGAATTTTTTTCAATTATAACAAAAATATTAATTTAAATAACCTCAATTGAAGGTGATTCATGTTCAAATTTAATAGTTCCCATATTTCCAAAATGATAAATACATAATTGATAAAATAATTCTTGAGATAAATGTCTTGTATGAACTAAATATAATTGAGTATCATGTTGAATAAGTGATGATTGTCCATCAATTGTTCCAACATAAACAAAATTTCGTATGATATTTAATAAATCTGTATCACATTCATCATTAATTGTTTGACGTAAGATTTCAATTGATGTTAATTTAATATTACGTGGAAATACAATTGAAGCTAATGGTGATATTGTTGTTGAAGATATTATTGATTTTTTTGGAATTGTTATTGAACTATTATGATAACGATGTTTATCTAATTTTTGATCACGACTAGATGTACGAATAGTATGAGATTGATTAATATTTACATTTGCTTTTTTCATTGTTACGTTTGTTGTATCCAATGAAATTGTTTTTGATGTATTATCTGTTTCAATAGGATCTTTAGGAGTTGGAGGTATCAAAGTCATTGAAGTTGGTGTCTAAAATTTTACAAATCATTTTGAACAAATTATTCTATTCTATACTAAAGTACTAAAATCTGCGAGTTGAATATGAGTCTCAAAATTTATGTTTTGAAAAGTTATCAGCGATGTGTCATAGTAAACAAGTCCACAGGTCGAATACCCATTGTAGTACTCTGTTCTATGCTTCTGGAACACTTCAATTTTTTTTTTTTGAGAATGATTAATGAAAATAAAAACAACATGAAGAATAAATCCAACAATAGTGGGAATAATAATGGATACAAATTAAATGATCAGTATTTTTTTCTCAGTATTTATATATCAAATTATCAGTAAATAAACCGAACGATTAGTAAAAAATTTAGTGTTCGGTAACTTCCTCTTTACTTAGTAAATTAATAATTTGTTGGTGTGAGATCGAGTGCAGAGTGTGAAGTTTGACTGTTGATGTGCGTTACAGTGCAAGATGTAGGTGCTGCTGATAGAAAGATAGAGTTCAGCAGTCCAAAAAAACTGAAAACCAAAAACCGATCTAGCACAAGAATCGTGGATCATCAGATTGATACAAAAATTCTCAAATCTAGGTCGGGAAATTTACATTTTTCCATTTCTGAGATCAAAGATCTTAGTGTATGTGTAAAATATTGTTTTTTTTTTAATATTAAAATATGTAGTGTTTTTAATCTCAACAATTCAATAGTGAAAATTTTTCAACATATATTTAAAATTTTTATATCTGTTTGACGACTAATGGTTTCTTGTTTTTAATAAGCAAAACTTGAATTGGAAACGTGGTTTCGGATAATTTTTACAGTCACCGAGCTACACGAGAAGGCCAACATTCACATCCACACTCTTAAATACTAAACCATTTTAAATTGATTACTGAGCTTTTCAAATTATTTACTAATCAAAACATCACTTTTTACTGATCAAAAAATATTGACCATTCGTTATAAAATACTAATCAATTAATTACACGCCGATAATAAATACGGGATTTATGATTTATAGATGCACAAAAATTTCTTGACAGTAAGAGACTACATTGACAAAGAATGATTACTGGTTGCAATTTAATGAAATCTATGACATAAAGTCGAATTAATCTTAAGACAGAAATAGATGATTAATCGCTTACTTTATATTAATGAATTTCTAAGAATCTTTCTCAATGAAATATGAAGTTAAAACTCAATATAAATTCAACAAAAACACAATGACAAATATCTAATTATATTTTTGTTCCTATATCTCATACGAGTTAAATATTTCGAAATATTCTCGTTAATAATTTGATTATAGATTATAACAAATACGTTGATTAAGAAAAAAAAACTAAATCAATGAATAAACAAACCATATGAAATGTCAACTGAGTTGTTGTTGTTGTTTGTTTAGCTGATTTAGCAACAATAATACGTTCAATAGCTTGTACAATTGAAACAATAATTTGATCAGCATGTAAAAATCGTACTTCATTTTTACTTGGATGTATATTAACATCTAATGTTGTTGGATCCATTATTAAATCAAGATATACAAATGGAGATATTTGTTTATTAACTAAAACAGCATACATTTGTTGAATAGATTTTTTTAATGGTTGACAATCAACTAAACGACCATTTATAAAAAGAATAAATGTCATTGAATTTGAAGAATTTTTTGATGAACACTAAAAGCAAAAACAAAAAAAAATTTTTTTTTTTTTTGTTTTTTTCATTTCGATTTCTTTTGTTAAAAAAAGCAAACAAAACTAACAGAATATTGTATTCCAGTAAAATAAGCTTTACATTGAAATTTATAAGGTGTATCATCAGTATTAATTATTGTTTCATACATATCTTTAACCATATCAGCTCCATATAACATTTTCATATTTTGTAAAATAGTTGTTGTTTCTTTTCCATTTGTATGAACATCTGGTTCAATTTGTTGATCACGTTTAAGTGAAAAAGAAACATGCGTATTACGTAATGCCATTTTCATAACACAGTCAACCATTCTTGTATATTCTTCCGAAGCTGATTTCATCATTTTTAAACGTATTGGATTATTATAGAAAAGATCTTCAATTATTATTAATGTACCATTTGTGCCTATTTAAGAAAAACAAAAAAAAAACAAAAAGAAGATTAAAAAAATTTCTAATGATTCAGTTTGTTTTTATTATTTGTTTTCATTTCAATATTATCTTCTATCTCTATCTTCATTTGTATTAATATGGTTAAATATATTAAACTCATAAAAATGAAATAAAATTTGTTAACCTGCACAAGGTTTAATTGATGTTGATGGTCGAATTTTTTCATCTTCATATTCACAAATATAAGCACATGGACTTTCCGGTATTTTACTAATAATTTTAACATGTCCAGCATAACTTAATGAAGCTAAAGCTTCACCACGAAAACCATAAGTATTTAAATGATATAAATCATCAAAATTTTTTAATTTTGATGTTGCAAATCTTTGACAAACAAGTGGTAAATCAACTTTACTTATTCCACAACCATCATCTCGAATTTCAATTGATTTTAAACCTCCTTGTTTAACATGAATTTGTATTATATGTGCACCAGCATCTAAACTATTTTCTACAAGTTCTTTTATTGCTGCACATGGTCGTACAACAATTTCTCCAGCAGCTATACGATTAACAACTGTTTCATCAAGTTTTTGAATTTTTCTATTCATCTAAAACAAAACACAACAAATCAGAATTTTGTTTAATTTATTTTATTTTATTTGTTTAATATAATTTCTATTATCTTCGTTATTTTCAGTTAAACATTTAATTAACCAAGCAACACATGCTTGAGCTTTAGGTTGATTAAGATCAATTTGTGTCATTGAAAGAATTGATTCAATAGTACCATGTGTATTTCGAATTTGATTTTGACAATCAATATTATTATAAGATAATGTTGCTAATAAACAAATAAGATCAGCAAATAAATCAAATGTTGGTAATGGATGTTCTTTTGGTATATCAATATATAAATGATACCATTCATGTTCAGATTTTGAACGACGTTGATGAACTTCACAAATTAATTTTGAAACAAGATAAACAATTATTAAACGATAACGATTATCATCAAATAAATCTTGTTGATTTATATAATAATTATTTATTAATAGAATTAAACAACGAAATAAACGAAGATTTAATTCTGAATAATTATTTTTATCAATAATAGATATTAATGAACAAGAAAATAATATATGAAGATCTTCTGGATAATTATTTGATGATGATGATAATAAATTAAATAGACATAAATCATTTATTGAATCATTAGGAAGATTATTTAATATATAATATGATAATCTTGAATGTAGATCATCTAAATTTGATATTTCACTTAAACTAAAAACATAATAAAATTATCAAATAATCATAAAATTTCTTTTATCCTTAAAATTCTCTAGGCTAATCTCAAATTTGTTCGAACATATACAAATATCGACAAAGACTTCAACAGATTGTTCTTTATCAATTATATAAAAGTGTAAGAAGTTTAAAGTAAATCCTACTTATTTAATAAAAAACGAATAGATGAAAGACAGCGTAAAAAAAAATTCTCGATAAATTAGTTGATTGATGTTAATTAATTTGGGTTCTAGATCGTTTCTTTTTTTATGCCACAACAAAAGATGAATTAGTAAAGGTGTTGATGAGTGTTGTGCAAGAGAAGATAAGATTCAAGCACTCACATAATCTAACGTCGATCATATGCTAATGACATATTCATGAATACTTTTCAATAATTCTAGTAATAGACATTTGACTTGTTTTTTTGTTTTTTATTTCGATCTAAGTTTAGAGAATTTTTTTTGTCATTGATTATTTTGTTTCGATCGTCTGTATAATCTTTATTTAGAGTAATTGATAAATATTTAAATAAAACAAATACTTACTCGATTTTTTCAATTATTTTTGAAAATAATTCTTGAGAATTTTGTTTTATTGGTTGAATATTTAAAATCTTTTCTTGATCATGTGTATCAATAGCATATAACAATTCTTTTGTATAGATTTTTTCTAAATAAAATTTTCTTAACCATTGTTTATCTTTTTCAATAAGTAATTTTGTTAATTGATCAATCCATGGATTATCTTCTTCTTCTTCATCATCTTCATTTTTATATAAACTATTAATAATTAAATCATATCTTAAATTATTAAATGTATTCATTTCAATATATGCACATAGAATACATGCAATTACATTTTTATTACTATGTGGTAAAAGTATCAATGCACATAAATAAGCAATATCACGATATTTATTTGGTAATAATCGATTAATATTATGTAAATATTGAAGAAAATGTTTTGTTAATTCTTTCGAATTTGAATTAAGACATTCTTTTATATTAAATATAAGTAGATCAATTTCACATTGATTTAATAATGATGATCTTGATCTACCATATAAATTTCGTTGTACAGAAAGTCCTTCAATAGATATATCTTGACAAAGAAAATGATTTGCGATATCAATATATATTGAATCATCTATTATTGTATTAGATTTTTCTTTAAGAAGATTTGCAAGATAACGAGGATCATTTATAAATGAGAGAATTTCATCAGAAGAACACATCTAAAAACATATATAGTTATTCTCTACTTATAAAAAAAAGAAAGAAAAACTAAGAAAAGAATTTGTTCTCTACAGCACATATAATATAATCTATCATATAATGTAATTTCATGTCTTTTATGTAATTACATCAATATCAATTTTTCTTCTGACTCATTTATACACTTTCGATCAAAATCAAAAATTTCATAATTAGATAAATAATATTTATTGAATGTTAAATATTACAAAAAAAAAGAGGATTAATTTGGATTGATTTTAATCAAAAATTGTTTTTATTTTTTGCCAGTATTTGTTTTAAAAATTTTATTTAATACAATGCCAACTAATTCTCCTGGCACTGACCATAAACCAATTAATAGACAAAGAACAAATATAAATATAATTATGCCAATAAGTATTGTCCATCGAAAATTACGCCAAATAACATATCGAAATGTTTTCCATGGTGATGTAAACCATAGAAATGAAGTTTTTGGACGACTAACAAAGTAAAAACATATTAAATTAGTCATATGAATTAATTAAATAAAACAAACTTTGGTTCATCAAGTGGTTGTGGTCCTTCACGTCCTTTACCAACAGGATTTTTTTCAGCTTCTTCAGCTGTAAGAAGACTAAATTCAGCTTCAACTTTACCCTAATTAAAGACAAAAGATAAGAAATTGAAATTTAATTTTTATTATTGAAACATACTCCTAATAGAGCTGTATCACGAACTTCTCCAACTTTCAATGGAGCAATCATTGGCCACCAACCTAAATAAATTAACAAAATTGAAATTTATTTTGACCAAAAGAAAAACCAAAAAAGAACTTTTTTTTTGTACCAGCAATACGTTTGTTTACAAATAAATTTAATGCTCGATGTTTTGAATCAAGTAAAATATCTGATTTACATTTTTTCGACATTTTAGAACCAATTGGTAAATGTGTTAGATTAAGAATACATTCACCTTAGGAAAAAAAAAAAAAGAAAACTGATGAAAATTTATTTCTTTTTTTTTTTTCAAAATAATTAAAACAAACCAAGAAAATCATCAGCTGAAAAAAGATCAGCATCATAAACACGAATAACAATTCTTGGTGGAAGTTTTTTCAATGTATTACCAATTTGAAAAACTGATTCTTTTTTTTCATGAACTATTTTTTCTTCAATATCTATATAATTAAAATCAAAAATAAATCGCCAATTAAAATTGCCTTCGCCTGTTAATGATCTATTTGAAAGAAAAATAAATAAATTATTTTATTTATTTTAAAAACTAACCGATAATGAATATCAGTTTGTTGTCCATCATCTTTTTCTCCTAAAACCCATGCTTTTACATATATATCTGATGTTTTTTCTCCTGTTACAAAATTTTCATCATTTAATTCAACATCTGATGTATTCCAAATAGTTACACGTAATTGATATGCCATTGGTTTTAATGGTGTTATATCAACGGGTGCACTAGATGGTGGACGAGACATTGGAAATATATCTAACCACATCTCCAATTTGCCTTGTTCGACATCCGGAACTTTTGGATCAAAAAGTGATCGACATTCAATATGTTCAGATACTAAAGCACCTTTCTATATTGATTTTAATAAAAAAATTTTTCTAAAAATTCTTTAATAAAAAGTCTCCTTACTGGATTTATTTTAATAGCCCATCCATGAAGTGCCGTTAATGCTGTATTTTGTCGAATATATTCATCTGGTGATTCATGATGAACTTTACGATGTAATAAATCATTTGGTTTTCCATGTTTTATAAATTGAACACATTCTGGATCACAATCAAAACGTACATCACCAATAATTACTGAACGACAATCTGTTGCATAAACTGGTAAATTTAAATTTGTTGTTCGACATAAGTCTTGTAAAATAACAGCAGGTGTTTTTGTATCACGCCAAACATTATAACCAGCACTAAATATAAAACAATATTTAACATAAAAGTAAATACTTTTGTTTTTGAAAATATATATTATTGATGAATTGACCTATCATATCTTTTTTGTAAACCACATGTTGCTCTATGACATGAAAACCAACGATTTTCAATATCAATACTTGTTTCAGCAATTCTATCATCTAAATTTGCTAGATCCCAATCCCAAACTTGTATACGTAATAATGATTGTTGAGGAATTGTTATGTCAAATTCATAAGATCTATTTAAATTATTTTAAATAAATTTTATTTTTTAGTTTTTTTATTTACTTTCCAAAAACAGGTTCTAATGTATTATAAAGTCTTTCTTTAACATCATCAATAATGATATCTCTATTCAATAATATTTTAATATATGGATCAGCTTTACCCGATGCATCCCAAGCACGAAATAATAATGCTTTAATAATATACAATCGACATTTAAGTGTAATTGGATGTTGATTCAAATCAAATTGAAGCATTTCTTGATTTAAATGAATAGTTGGAGCTAGTTTTTGCTTTGCTTCGGATACTGTTTGACTATTGAGTAAAACTGGATTAATAGACATTCTACTAATACTTTCTGAAGTTCTACTACGTTCACTTGATGGAATTTCACGAATACGAAGCTTTCCCTAAATAACAAAAACAAATAAACAAAAAAAAAATAAAGAATAAACTGACCTTAAATTTTGTATAAACACGATTTTCATCTCCTTTTTCATCTGAACGATTTGTACCTTTTCCTTTATATCTAAATTAATTAAATTAAAATATTTCTCGTTTTCTTAATTTAAATTAAACTTACAAAGGAAATTTATCAAGACAATCATTAAATCCTTCATAATTCTGAATATTTTCTAATTCATTTTCAATTATCTATTGAATAGAAATATAAATTATATTATAGAAATATATTAATGAAATCATAACACAAACAATTATGAACTTTTAATCTCTATCCCAAGAAAACTATTCGAGATTTCATTTGTATTCTTCAATATTCTCTTTCTTTTTTTATTTATTCAGTTCACATCAAATATTTGTGAGGATTATTTCACTCGTCAATTATATTCTCATTAATATTATTTATAAGATAATTAGCTTAATACCATAGCATAATTGACTATGAAATTGAGTTCGAGTTTCGGTAAATTTTTTTCTCAATCTCTGAATCATGTATATCTCTCTATATGAGATAGAAGAAAAAAATGAAATTACAATTTTTATTCGATCTGTTGTAAATTGAAATAAATCTAATATATTGTTATCTATCTGATATATATTTATTCTTAGAAAATCTTTTTTTTTTTGTTTTTTTTATTATTTATTGTTTCTTACATCAAATGTTTGTAATAATGTTAATTCTTTAAGACGATCAGTTTCAATAATATCTAAACTTTCATCAATAACTGATTTGAACTAAGAAAGAAAAAGAAGAGAGAAAATAAAATAAAAACAAGAGATAAATGTTTTGATTACTTTCGAATGATCTCCAAGATATCCTAATTCATGAACAGCGAAACGTTCAAATTCTTTACGAAATTTTCCAAGACGCATAAAAGCTTTTTTAGCTTTACTCAAAAATGCCCAACGTTGTTTAGCAAGAGCTTCTAAAAAAAAGGAAGAAAAAGTATTTTATCATCAAAAAACAAAACTCGACTGACTTGATTCATCTTCAAAAAAATCAGCATAAACATTATAATTAAAATGAAGTCCTTCATCTAAATCTGTTTTGACTTTTTTTTCTAATCTCTATGAAAATGAAAAGAAAAAAGAAAAACAAAATATATATAAATATGTGAGAAACATTAAAAATTTGAACATACAAGTTTTGCTTTTGATGCATAATATTTACTCCACCAAGTAGCTGATTTTTCCATTTGATTTCGTTTTGATCTATCTAAACTTGTTAATTGCTGATAACTATCAACATTTGATTCTAATTTAATGTCAGAATCATTTGAATTTTGTCTTTTTCTTTTGACTTTTTCATCTTCTTCATTCTAAAAAAAAAATTTTTTTTGAAATAAAATAATTTATTTCGAATATGTTACATTATTTTCTTGTGCCAATGAATCAGCATTAATAATTATTTGTTGACTTTCATTAAGATTTTTTGTTTGACCTATTTCATTTTCGAATGTTGATATTTTTGTCTTTACGAAATCCTTATTTTCATTAATTAACGTAGCTGAAATATAAATATAAAACTATCATTTATTTGATGTGTCCTGAATATCAACAATACAAGAAATGAACAAAAAATAAATTAATTCATGAATAATTTATCTTTAAAATCTAAACAAATATTTTAATTTTACTTTGTTTTTTTAAATTATCAAAGTAATATGAATGTCCCAACTCAAAACTTTTGAATGATCTTTTAAAAAATACATAAATTATTTTAACTGTGTTATTCTTCACATTGAAACTATGCATAAGAGACATGGCATCTAATCAATCTTCTGTAATGTTTCTAGTTATTTTCGAATTACCAAGAAAAAATATTTATTAGTTTTCTTATATTCTATTAAGATGAACAATCACATTATTAAAATAAGACGCCGAAAATAAACAGTTATTATAATTCTTTTTTCTGTCTTTGACTAAACCTAATTGTTCAGAAAATTTTTAGATTTATAACAAACCAGACACGATAATATGATTCATGTCGTAGGGTATGATTGTGAATGCACATAATGCTTATCTGTTCAGCTAATTCAACCATACACATGTTACATTTTCAAAAATATTAGATTGAGAATTGTTGATTTGAAGTTAATAATCGATAGACTTTAATTTGATATGACATCTATTTCTAAATAGTTCATTATTTAAGGAAAGGAAATTTTTATTTATCAATTTGTTCTTATAGGAACCATAGGATAAGAAAAGATTAAATGAGGTCAAGTTCATATTTCAAGAGTGATGAAATTTGCTATTTGATCTTTTGATTGACATTGTCTTTTATTTTCTAATACTTTTTCTATGTAATATTATTACGAAATATAAAAATAAATCGTTAATTCTACCTTCATAAGCATCATAGACCGATCGTCGAATACGGCTAAGATCATGTGGAATTCTTTTTGATATTTCATTAACTGATTCTGTCTCCGATGTATTATTTGATATTGAAGGAATATTTGGTTTTTCAAGATATTTTTGTAAATCAGTTACGACAAGATTACCTACAGGTTCTTTCATTCCAAAAAGACGATGTTGTACACAAGAAATACTTAAATGTGGCCAAAAATTATTATCTTTTGGTAAATTCTAAAAGAAAAAACAATAAATAAAATGAACAAAAGAATTCATTATTAGTATATTTTTTGTTCATACAACTATAATTTTGTAGATATCGGAATCCTTAGGTGTTGATTCAAAATTTGGATATTTTTGTACATCTTTTATTATTTTCGTTATACGTGCACCAGCACAATCGATTGATACTTCAGCTTGTTGAATTGATTGAAAATTAATTGGACGACATTCACGTAAACCCCAAAACATAACCTATTTAATAGAAATACTTCTTTTTTTAATATTTTAAATAAAAAATATCAAAATTTACTTCGATTTCATAAGGTTTTAAATCAGGTATAATTATATATGGAATATTATAAATTTTATTTTTCATTAATTTAATTATATATAAATTAGGTGGAAAATTATCTGGTATTATTTCAATTTCTTCAAGATTAAATATTGAATCAACTTGTCGAGTTTCCTATTGAAATATTTTCAAAAAAAAAAAGAATAATTTTTTTTTTCAATTATTTTTACTGGATTAACTTCGTTGAGTTCAAATACAGCTAAAACTTCTCCGGCTCTTTTTTCACCAAATTTAAATTCATACCATTGAAATAATGATTCTTTTTTGGTTTTATCTCCATCAAATAGATCAAGTTTAGCTGTTGTCGAAAATCGACCTATGAAATCAGAACCTTCATCCGACTAAACAAATGAAAATAACATTAAACATTATTGCTCATTGATATTAATGTCAACAAGAAAAAGATAAAACATAGAAACATATTATATTCTATCGAAGTATTTTTTTAAGGTTTTTTTTTTATAGACAAAGTATCAATAAGAGAACATATCCAACTGCTAAATCGCTTTTGAATCAGGACTATGTACATAATGTAGATCCTATTAAGCTATGCATAACCTGAAAAAAATTTTGACTTATTGTTATCGAGGTGTTGTTTTTTTTGACGATATTTTCTAGTAGAATGCTGTAATACCTCTCAGAAATGTCAAAGAAACTAAGTTTCGAATTTCGAATTTAAACTTTGCAATTTCAAATATGAAATATCTCGTCATAAAAGATACTAGAACAGTTATAAGTTGTCCAACAAATAAATCTCATTGAGAACTTTGTTCATAACAATTTTGAAGTTGAAATTCTCATGTGATCTGAGGAAGAGGAAGACAGCTTTTTTTTCCAGAAAAGTAAGTCAAATGTCTCTATATCAAAAATGAAAGTTGGAAACAAACCAAATCATTCAAGACTTTTCTATAAATTTGTAACACTTATCAAATACAGATCGTCACAGTCGAAAAGTGATTTGACATCTGAAGTAATTCTCTCGTAAGTAATAAATCTTAAATAATGGCAAGTTAGCTATAGATTATCGATTCATAAAAGGAAACAACCAATAATTTAAATAGTGATTAAATGAAAAATATAATAATTACTTCATCATAATCATAACATTCAACAACAACATTTCCAATGGTTTGTTCAGCTGTTTCTCGATTTCCAACATGTACCAAATTTTGAAAGACCAATGTTATATTCCATTGTGGACATAATGATTCTTTGAGAATCTATGAAAAACAAAACAAAACAATACATTTGAATTCTATAATAAATAATGTCTTAATTATATAAAATAAATTAAATTTTAGTTTATTATTATTATAAAAATTGAAAATTATTTTCAATGATATATAAATATATTCATGTAAATTTAAATACAATCCTAAATAATTAAAAAATATAATAATAAACATACAGGTGTTGTTTGTGTTTCATTTCCAGCTGTAATACTCAAATATGGATCAGAGAAACCAGTTTCATCTGAAGCATTTAATGATCTTGCTTTATAACAATGACATCGTAATTCATAATATGATATTCCTAAAATAGATATTTTATATATTATTTATTGAAAAATCTATTTATTTATTTTTAACCATTATATTGTATATATTTGATATCATTAGATAATTTTAATTGTGGCATTTCAAAACCAGCAGGTAATTGTTTAAATATATTTAATTCTTGTTCTTCACTACCAAGCCAAAGAAATATTTGTATTTTAGCATTTGTTGATGATTTTATTGGTTTATCCGATGTACGTGGTGTCTTAAAAATAAAAAATAAAAAAACAACTTTTTTAAAACAAAATCACAATAAGAAAATTGATAAATAACAAACTTGAAGAAAGAGTGTTTGTATTCGACCATTATATAAACCTTTTTCACCTTCACATGTACTATAAAGAAGATCTTCTGGTGATAATCGAGCATAAGCTACTCGTTTTGAATCACATATCATCCATAAAAATATATCAGGTAATGATGGTTGTACCTTAAGAAATATTTTTTTTTTTTTTTGAATATAATAATAATAAATTAATCATTTTTATTTACATCAAAGGCCATTCGTCGAAGTGCACGAGCTATTTTATATAATTTTTTAATTATTTCAAATCGTTTTGTTTCATCAAAATCAACATCTTTTGTAATCCAACTTTTTAATAATTCTAAATTATGTAAAATTTTTTTTCGTCGTTTTTCATCTAATGAATTCATTCGAAGATTTGGTAATGAAAAATTTAATACTTCAGATAGAGTTGCATGAACTCCACCTGTTATATTAAAATTATTATTAGTAGTAGTTTTTTGTTGACCACATCCACATGGTAATGTATGAACATATTCTTCCATTTTTCGATATTGTTCTATTAAAATTTCATCTGATAATTTTGAATTGATATTAAATTCAAATTCTCGTATTAATTTAAACTAAAAACAAAAAGAAGAATTTTCTTAAATATCCAAAAAAAACACACACACACACAATCTATACCATATAATCAGCTGCATTTTTCAATCGATTTGATAAAGTCATACGATAAGTATAATCATAAAATGTATATTTTGTAAATATAATTGGTTTTTGTAAATCAATAGGTAAACGAAAATGTTGTACATTATTATCAATTGGTATACGTGGATATGATCGTGTTATTGATGAAGCTGATTCATGATTATTCAATTGTTGTGAATTTAAATATCCACTTGAACCAATACTTAATTCAAAACAAATTATTGCATTACCAAATGTTTTATCAATCATTGTTACATCATAAATACAACCAAATAAAATAAATGTACGTTTTATTGGAAATATATGCTATGACGAAAAAAAAAAACAAAGAATTAATAATAATTAAGAATATTGTTGATAAATTTTAAAAATAAATAAATTTACAGCTTCAGGAAATTGAATTCCACTTTCTTTTTGTACATTCATATTCGATGCATTTTCACCACTTATTGGATGACATTCTATTTCCATAAGTAAACGTCCTTTATAACAAACACCTTCACCCATACGTTCTCCAAGACCATCTTGATCTTTATTCATAGTATATTCTCTTGGACTTCCATATAAAAACATCCATGTTGGACCAAATATTGGTAAAAAACCAGCTAATGGATTACTTTCACTTATGGAAAAAAGATCAATTAAAAATGATGATATTGTACGATCTTTTTGAACAGCAGCATGATCTTTAAGTGCTATTTTTATTGTTCGTACAAGTGGTGGAAATTGTCCAACTAAATAAAGTGCTTCACCCCAAACAGGTGATGAACCATTACAATAATTTGTTGTTGCTTGTATTGCATTATATGTTACTTCAATATATGGATCAACTGGTTCCCAATCATCAGAAGCAAGAATTTTCTTTGAAACAGTTGTTAAAAAATCAGTCATCATTTCAGGTAATTCAGTTGCTGCAAAAAAAGTTATTTTAAATTGAACAGGGAAAAGACGTCGAGGCATAGCAGCTGGTATAAATTCTTTTCTATATACAAATCAAATATAAATACAAAAGGGGAAAAATAAAATCTTTTATTTACGATGGTTTTAATTCATCATCATCTTCGACAGCTTCACCAAGAATATTCTTCAAAAAAATAAAAATTTTTTTATTTAAATTAAAAAAACAAAGATTTTATTTTTAATATATTACTTTTGTTGTAACACCACGTTGTGCAATTGCAACTGAAACAAGTAAATGACCACAAGATGCTTTGATAGAATCTGGATTAATTAATTTAGCCCATTTTCGTTCAAATACATGTTCTTCTTCATTATAAACTGTTGCTACATCAGCTTTAAATATACCAATTGGTTTTGTATCAGTAAATGTACTTATTAGTTTTTTTGCATGATGAACCTCAATAAATAGAAAATTAAAAAAAACAACAGTAATCATTATCTACATAGCACATAGATTTAAAGTTTTACTCGAAAATAAATCACTTTTTCCATCATTTGTGTGGCCGGAAGTGTAAAATCAAATGTAAAGAACTACAATAATATGAAGATTATTAATACAAAAATATTTATTTATTTTTTTTTTCAGAATAATAAAATCATATTTAAAATCATTCATAATTAGAAATGAGAAAAGTAGAATTTTTGAAATTAACATTGTCCTAGAATCACTCATTTCATGATTAAATAGTAATTGTAAATAAATCATGTAGACCATTGACTTGAAAGTATCTTATGCTTAATAGAGTTAGAAATGTTCTTTCTTATTGTTAAGCACATCATTGTTAATATATATACTTCTAAAATATTAATCTTAACTGTCTGTTAAAATGTAAATATTGCATGAAAATCTTTTCAATATCAAATTTTTTGTTTGTAAAAATGGCAATCGTCTATACTAATTCCGATTGGAAATCGTTCATTCATATCAATAATATATATTCTTAGAGATGATTCAAAATAAATTTTAAATCAATAGTATAAAAATCTTAATACATATTAATTAATAATTATTTAATTATTTCTTATTACTGTTCTTCATGTGGAAGACTTTTTGTTATATCTAGATCTGAACCGAAAATAATCGACATTTGTTGAGATATTGACACAGTTATAGTATAGTTTTCAGAGTTTTATTGAATATGAAAAAGTATTCCATTTAGTTTCTTTCATAAATAGCAACAAAGAAAACAATAACGTATGCCCAAAAAAAAAGAAACGTGTTCAACATTCATTTAGTATTTTTTCTTCTTCTAAAATCTAATTGATTCTGCTAAGTATACGTTTGTTTGTTACTGATGACGCTGAAATAGAATAGAATACAGCTTTCATATCAACAGCCATCACTGTAAATACATACATAAATTCTTTTCTCATCACAATAATATATGTATACTTTTTTTGATAATTTATTTTCTTCACTATATATTCAATTACTTTGTTAGATCTCTCATTATCATCTTAGATAAATTTTCATAAAAAACGAATTCTTTTAGTACAACAAAATCACCTTTCCACTTCTGTTATCTGATCTCAATTAATACAATAAATTCTTGAATAATGATCGAATCGATTGTCACTGTTATGCTTTTATATGAATGGCAGTTTGAAAAAGTAACTAAGTTTTGGAATGTTGAAATCTTATTAATTTATACTTGTATTCGAACTGACCCTATGAGTTTTGCATTCGAGTCTATGCTTTGGGCTGGAACAAGTGCTGAGTACTCAACTGAATTGCAGAACATTATCTCTTAATATGAAATTGTTCATCAAAGTTATGAATTCTTTTTTAATAATAATTATAGAAAATCTATTTACAATACACCACGTAAACTAGCTAGAATTCTTGCAAACTTTCTTTAATAAGTTTTCTAGAGTCTTACAAAATTTAGCTGTATGTGGTAATGAGCGTAAGGAAAAATGTTTCTTTTTTAGCAATAAGAGTCTTAGACAGCCAAAAATTTTCGATCCGATTGGTTCTAATAGTCTGAAAAATGTGTAAAGTGTGCTAGTCACTGAATACAAAAAAAGAAAAAACGAAGTGAAATATTTCGTATCCTCTGGCTAATTGTTCAATTTCAATTAGAAAATTCTCTTGAAAATATCAAAGTAGAGTTCGACTAAATCAGGGTCTGAAAATTTTTGATCCGATAAGCTCTATTCTGTACTTTTGCTTTTGTAAAATATATTTTTTTTCGTATCAGAATTCGCTTTGTGTTCCTCAGATATCTATCATGACGAAAACAGAACTTGACTGTTAAGATCTTTAGAAAAAAAAAAAAAAAAAAACTTTGAAAATCTGTCGAATAATAATTTAAATTACTATTTTTGTTTTATATGAATTTATTGAAGATTTTTTTTATTTAAATGACTTACTTCTCCAAAGTACGGTGAATTATTACATTTATGTATTCCAGTATATCGTTTTTGATCACCAATTTGAACACATACATATGGATTAATATCAATTCCAGCAAAATCTCGTCCTTGTATAATATTAACCATAACTTGCCATTGTGTCATTTGATATTCATCACCTTCATATCGTCCCAAACTCAAATGATTTTAAATGAAAAATCTTAATTAAAATAATATATATATCTTTATTTTTTTTCAAACCTTTTTTCCAGTAATTCAAGTTCACTGTGTTTAATCTTTAATTTATCTTCGCGAGTCATTGCCAATAATGGTTCATTATAATTTGGATTACTACCAAATTCAGAATCACTAAACGAATCTGAATCAGCATCATCTGCACGACCAGAGAATTTCGTACGTAATTTGTTACTTAAATAAAAATAAATAAAATATCTTGTCGTTAATAAGATTATCAATAATATTAATAAAATAATTGTAAAGATTAAATATTATTTACAAATTATTAAATAACTATTTCTTATGCTTCAGTTAAATTTACAAATAGTAAAACATTATTAACTTATCTCACAACAAGAATATCATCAAGTGTTCACATAAAGAAAACATTTTTCGTATGATACAAAATTAAAGGGACACCAGAATTTGACTCTAAGGACTTTACAGTATGAACCTAAATTGACTGTTTGCGGATGTGGATTCGAGTTTCTATTAGACTTACACCCACATTAATAGAACTTTTTATAAGGATCAATTAGGTGAATTTAAGCACAGACCGAAATTTGTGTAGCCTAAAACTAAAATCGACTACTTACAATCCAGTATTATATTTTGAATTAATATATCTATGTCGATGACCACCATGTCGACCACCATCATCAAATCGATCCATCCAATTGATTGTGTCAGTTGTTTCATCAAGTCGATCTAATAGATCTCCTTTTTTATCAATACTTGGTGGTGTATAATAAAGTTTAAGTTGTACAGTTGATTTCATTAAATAATGATGTGGATCCGATAAATATTCTTCAGGTAAATCAATATGTTTTGCATCGATTAACGTTTCAAGCATTATTTCAAAAATTGCAATCATTTTCTTACGATTTTTCTTTACATTTATTGCATAAAATTCCATACGTATTTTCTCATCAGATAATAACATAGTTGCTAAATTAAAATGAAATTTTTTTGGTTTATTTCCACGTGCAATAAAATTTGCTGTTCCATTTTGTATTGGAACATTATTTGACCAAAGATGAATTCCTGAAGAAAAATTTAAAACAAAAAACCAAATCAATGAAAAAGAAGAAAAAAAACTTCTTGAATTATTATTTATTTTACGATAATGAAAATTATTTTATTAAATACCTCGAAATATAACTTTAGCACAAAGTAATGTTAAATTATCATCAGTAATTAATGGTGTTGCTTGTTCTTGATTTTCATTCAATAGATCAATTTTATTATTTCCTATTTCAAGATTAACAACTTTAAATAAAAATACCGTTAAAGCCATTCTATATTCTATACGAATAGGTAAACTATTAAGTGTTTACAAAGATTGTTTATATGCCATTAAATATGTATATGCAGACATCAATAATAATTTATTTGACTTGAAATGACAGGTATATTGAAAAGAGAAGGAAATATATAAGCACAACGAGAGAGAAATAAAGCAATTATGATATAAACATCGTTACAGAAATATAAAAAAAATTAGCTTAATTTTCTTCCTTTTCTTGCATCTAATTTTTTAATTAATTTTCTTCGCCTAAATTATCTATCTATCTTGACTGTTATTTACTTTTATATAGAAATACAAGAAGAATAAGTATGTATAGCAATGTATTTTGTTTTTTTTATTAAACTAACAATATCAGCCTTTATGACATGTTAAGAATTCAAGAGATTTGTTGTTCAAAGTTTTTTTCTGTTGTTGTTGTTGTTGTTTTTGATGATGATGGTGGTACCAGATTTTCGCGAAATGATTCCAAGCGAATCTATAAATAATAATTAAAAAAGAAAGTTTATAAATTATGAAGATCAATATGGGTTTTTTTTTTCTTTCGAATAAAATATAACAGTTTTTGTCTCATTTTTCATGTCGTTCTGTATGATTGATTTTGTTATAATGTATTTTATAAATGACAAAAAACAAACAAACTTGTTAATCATAAAGTAAAATCTTTTTTCGTCTTCATCATTTTTCTTTTTATGAAAAAAAAACCTATTTGGCACTTCTATGAAATAATCATTATTCAACTCGATGTGTTTTTTTCCATTCAAAAAAAAACGAATTTATTTAATGATACTCATTTATATTAAGTAATATCTTAATAGCGTCTTTAACCTTTCGAAATTTGATTTTCATCAATAAAAAAAAAATAATAATTTTTGAGATTAACATCTGAACATTTTTTTTCACTTATCTAATGTATAGATTTACAAAAAAACAGTTTTGTCTATTGAAGGTTTTGATGATTTTTATGAATGATCTTTGAAACTATCGAGATAAATAATTAGATCTAGAAAATAAACAAATATTCTTCAAAGATAATCAAATCTTGCGTATCATAGATACGCACGTTTGAGACCTTGAATGACCTGAAGATGCGGAAATGAATCTTCACTTTACCCAAACCCTCAAATACACAAGTAATGGTAGGTAGCATAATTTATCATGATACATCTTATACGAAGACAATCTAAAGTACATATATAAGTACTTTGACTGACATATTATATAGTTATGCTTCATTTACATTTAAACTAATAATAATTGAAAGAGAATACATAAAAGAAAATTTCTTTTGCGTTTTTCTCAAAATTGATTTTGTTTTCGGTAATGATTGTTATCCTTCAGATGCGGGGAACGTGTTTTTTCAATTCATTGTCAATTCTAGATAAGCTCTTGAATTTTCAAAAAAAAAAGCTTTTTCCCTCATCCAGACTGGTAAAAAATTCTCTTTCAAATGAAATCAAGTCGAACTTCACAACTCGGTCTTTATGAACCTGCTGAATAAGAAGATATGGAGGCATGAAGTTTTCTTTTTTTTTATTAATGCATTTTCACGATCCAAACATCTATACAAAGTTTCTTCGACTTTGTCGAAGTTAAATGTTTTAGGAAAGGTAAGCTTATATAATTTCTTACTCGTTCAACAATCATCATAATGCCTTCGGGTAAATTTCGTTGGACATATTCAAGAAATGTATCAGCGGTTGAACCAGTTAGATGTTTAAACTGTAAAGAACAGTTAAATTAACAATTGATATGAAAACACAAAACAAAAAGAAACTTAACATGAAATTTTTTATAATATGTTCGAATTTCATATTCTCGCCAATATTTTTTTTTAGCAAATTTTGAACGAAGTAAAGTCCAACGTTCGGTAAAAAAAGGAGGATTTTCACTAAAAAATAATATGAAAATTTTATATTTCTTTTTAAATAAATAAAAATATATTATTTACACATTAACAAGTTGAATATCAAGTTGTGTAGATACAAGACGAACAAATTTCTCATAACTTTCTAATACAGCTGGATCATGACCACGTACTTCAACACACAAACGTTTATAAAGTTCATCACTACCATCTGGACGTTCAATGTGTGGTCGAGGTGTTGATGCAATGTTCAATTGTTTTTTTAACTAGATATTATAAATAATAAATTTCATGTTAGAAGAAATAAAAATAATTATCTACTCGAGCAGCAGTAGTGATTGAACGACAATTTAAAGATAATGCAGAAAATGGAATTTGCGACGGTTTGAAAAGAAAAACTTGATTGAATACAGTCCGAGCCAACATCTTAAATACAAAAAAACTACTGATTATATATATATATATATATAAATTAAAATATGAATATTGATTATGATTTGAAGTTTTAAAACTAATTCTTGAAAAATGATCTTTTATTATAGGCTACTCATATACAATCAATAGAAGTACAATCACGTACCTCTTTATAGATGAAATCATCAATATTTCAGTGACATCTAACGAAGAAAATCCAAAAACCCAGTTAGTAGCAGTAAGAAATTGAAATATATGTATTATTGGCACAAAGCAAATAATAGTTTGTTTTTATTCCCTAAGAATGAAATTGCTCGGTATGCATATTAATCATTTTATTACAGAACGTTTTTCTCTTCGATCTTATTTCGCAGATCGATAAACATCTACCTTGTAAAATACAAAATTAATTGTAAGAACATTTAGAATAATAGATATTAAAATGCTTAATTATCGAGTCAAATTTTTTTTCTTTTGATATCTATGATGTTGATTAACACTTTGTTTATGAAACTTATATATCCAAATTATAAGAGTTTACTATTTTATTTTGATCTTTACAATCAATTAATATCGTTAGAAATATGTAAAATTTGTAATAATTAATTATTTAGGCTCGACGAGACAATAGGTAACAATCATAATTGGAAAAAACAATTATGATAAATATTATAAATGAAAAAGACCCACTATTTACAATCAAAAACACAAAATATAGTCTGACTCAATACAACTAAAAATGTTCAATTCGTTTTCTATAATGATTAGAAAGATATATCCTTAGATTAATTCATACAAATTTCAATTAATCTTAACTTTTTTTAGCATAGAACATTTTCTAAACTTGAAATCAATAAAAACTTTCGAAGAATATTTTTTTCATTTAATTCGTATCATTATTTTTTAACATTTATTGTGTTATTATTATTATTATTCGTAATTGTTGATGTAGGCGTTTAATACTCAAATCAATAAGATTAACGAACGACACTATTACCTTTCGATAAAGTTCAGTGATAAACAAATCTTTTGTATTATAACGACAAATATAAAATCCTATAACGAATAGAGAATTGAATAGAAATCAGTACTATTTATAGATTATTATATAGGACTATTATTTTCATATAATGAAATTATTCTAAGAATACTTTTGTTACATTCTGTTCTAACCATGGTTTCATATAGTAATCATAAAATAAAGAATATTTCTATCTATCGTAGAATTATGGAATATATTTTTCTCATAAAAGAATGTCCTTTTAAAACTTTTAGTCCATATTTAATAAAGGTCAATGCAGAATAATCTACATGACAGTTATATCAAATGAAAAAAGTACATTGACATCGCAAGAAATTAGAGATATGTAAAGTGCATATATTATATTTATTGACTCAAGTATTTTGAAAATGTGGTTGAAAAAGTATATATAACCTAACAAAAATATCAATGAGAAATAAAAACAATTCAATCGATTTAATGAGTGAAGAAGTTGTCTTGTCTATTTATCAAAAAGTACTAAGCAGCCAATTATCTTTTTTCTATTCTATTGATTTCAATATTCGTAAAAGGATAGATACATGTAACATTTTCTATTAGTTTTTATATTGACACAATCAATAAAACTACTTCAGTGTACAAATAACTTCAGTATCTAAACTGTTATCTGTATAGATATGTTATTTCGAAGTATCTTTGTTGGGCTCATCATCATTTCAACGGTTTTATGTGAACAAGAATCAAGTAAGATTTAATTTATAGATGAAAATATATATCTGGGACGATTCATTCAATAGTACGACGATGTGCTCGTGCGATTGGTTCTTGTCTTCTTGCTCCAGAAGCTGTCGAAGGACCGTACTATTGGAATTCAACAGTTCGTAGTGACATTACGTAAGTTACTGTTAATTACATTTTTTTAAATCTTTTTCTACTATTTACCACTAAAATAGAGAAGGCAAAGGAGGTGTTCGATTCCGTTTAACTGTTACTGTATTGGACACGACTACTTGTTCACCATTAAGCGGTGCTCTTGTCGATTTATGGCATTGTGATGCTGAAGGAATTTATTCACATTATATTGCTGCTAGTCTTGGACAAAATACTAGACAAACAGATAATTCGACTTTTTTTCGAGGTATATTTCTTCTTTATTTTCATGTATTTATCTCATCATACGGTTGAATTCATAGGACAACAAGTAAGTAACAAACAAGGTATTGCAGTATTTGATACTATTTATCCAGGTTGGTATCGTGGTCGAGCTACTCATATCCATGTCAAAGTACATGTTGGTGCTAGTTTAACAAATATAGGTGGATCAATTTATGCAAAAGGTGGTCATGTTTCACATATTGGTCAACTCTTTTTTAATGATACTCTTACTGATGAAGTCGCTAAGCTTTCACCTTACACATTACAAAAAACTCGACGTATACGAAATAATGAAGATGGAATTTATTCTCAATCAAAAGGATCTACAACAATAGTACCTGTTCAATTTCTGACAGCAAATGGTTTCAAAGGAGCAGTCAAAGGTGATATAACACTCGGTATCAATCCTCAAGCTGTATCAACATTAGCTGGCAGACCAGGTGGAGGACGACCAAGACCACCTCCAGGCCGTTAAAACTTTATTTCTTTTTCTTTGAAAACAATTTGATTCAATAAAAAAATTTATTATATTAACAATATGATTTTTAGTGATACAAAAAAAAATTATCGTTTAATTTTGCTATGATACATTTAACAATTAAATAGTTGATTACTTGTTGGATACTGACACTTGAACTTTTCTTATTTCTGTTATGAAAAATATAGAAGTCTTTCTTTATTATGAAAATCATATCATATCATATCAATGAAAATATGATTTAGAACGTGTTGACTAAGATTTATATCTATCATTTACTATTATTATTTTATTGTAAAAAATTTTCAGAGTCTACAGTCTCTGTTTTATTAAAATTCATAATACATCATACTTTCTTTTAAATGTCAGTTTCTTGAAAAACAAAACAAAATGAGATAATTTATGTATAAGGTTCCATACATCTTTTGACATATTACTTGGGTTTGTCTTCTAAAATAGCACTGTAATTGGTATCTTTCAAGACGTTTATCTCAAGCGTCGAATATATTGTTGGTGGGTCAGAAAAAGAATTCATTCTGCCATTTTCCTGCGACAAATAATATTTCCTGACATACATATAAGAGTGGCGTCGACAAGCTGTTTACAGATAATGTTGGACGTTATTTCTTTTTTTATCAAAATAGGAAGATTTAAACGCAATAATGGAAGTTGTATATCTCAGGTTGAATCTATGTTTGATCAACATGAACGAGACGATAAGTTTTAAAACAATATAAAAATACGATTAGTAGTAGAAATATAATACGAAAAGATTATATTACAACGTGATTAAAAATATTCAAAACAAGAATTTATGTTCTACGAAAAGTGTGATGATCAAGGTGAGTTCGCTCAAAAAAGAAAATAATGTCATCTCTAACTATATTCAGAGAATTAAAGACAATAACAACTCTGATAACAAGATCATTGTAACCGTCGAATGTTTATTTTGCAAGGGCAATGTTGAATAAATAATAGATAACAAGAATAAAGCCAACTTAGAAAAGAAAATATATCTCGATGTATTACTAGTAATACGAACGATAATAAACATAATGTAAACGAAGACCAAAATGTTTGACATATCAACATCCATAAAAATCAACATTTTTAGTAACATCCTTAATAATAATAATAAAGAGTCAACTGTGATCTCATTAACAATCCTTAGTTGGTAAAATTGAGATCATGTGAGCAATAAAAATACTTTTAAACATAGGCGATAAAACATTATTGAATCTATCTTCAACAGAAAGTTGAAAATAGAGAAGAGAGTAGAGAGCGAAGCTTTTTGTATCATTCAGATGGAATACAATTAGTGTTGCTTATTTTCAACTCATATTCAACACTGTATAAAGTTGGTAGAATTCAAATAAAATTCTCAATGTAAATTAAAAAAAAACAAATTCACTTAAATAAATATGCCAATTTTCTTCTTGGTTCAATTTCGAGTGTTGAAAGAAAAGTTTTCGACCTATTTGACTGAAACACAGAACAATACTCGTTGAAAATAAGAAAAAACTTGATAGTTAATTTTTAAAAAAATCAAGTTCAATTTAACAGCAGATTCTTAAATATAGATGAATTTAATCTAATAGAAAAAAAGATATCAAGGTTAAAGAGGATAATAAAAAAAAATTTAATCAATAATCAAGTCTTTTATTTAGCATTCGATTATTATAGATTTTCTTCATGTGAAAAAAAATTCAAATATTTTCCTTTCTTTGACAAACAAAATCTATGTAGACTGTATCAATAGATACCAGGTCAAACAACCACGGTCGTTTACGATCGTATATGGCCTCCGTATTCGTCGATCTGGGTATATTTAAATACGTTTCATGCAACATTGACTTCCAATGATGCATAACAAATTACTGCGGATGATTCTTTTTTTATACATGTGATTTTTCTCTATAACAAATATACAGTAAAATTTCATCATTGAAATTGGATATTCTTCGTAATTCGATCATGGCCATATCAGGCCAGCATTTCGTGTTCTACTGGTTTTTTTCTACCTCTTATTCGTAGATGACAACGAATTTTTTCTCATTGAGAGAAAGAATGTGTATAACAGAACGAAAAAAAGTCACTCGTCGTAGTCCAATATGCCTCGATTAGTGAATTTGTTATTTTTCTCAATCGTATTGTAACGTTCATTTTTAAATAATTTAGTTATATATTAAAGTTCGTTTCAAATTTAGATATTTAAATTTATTTAAATGGAATGTTTTTCTTGCAAAATATTCAAAATTTTTTTTGAGTTTCGTTGTTTAAACTTTGCAAAGAAAAAGGAAAAGATGAGAAATAAATTTACGGAAAGTATATCAATGTTGATAAGCAAGTACAAACGTAATATAATGGCTCACACTCGAATTCTTTGTTTTTATATTATTCATAGATTAGGAGTGGTTGAAAAAGATATTAGATAAAAGGAGAGGTTATCATTTTTGTCATCAATGACGAGAAGGATTTTTCTAATGGATAGCTTACGCTCTCTGCTCGGTTCTTTCGGGACAACAAGTAAGATCTATTCTTTTTTTGTCGTCTACGCCTTTTACTTATTGGTTGAATTAGTATATATTTGGAATAGAACATATGAAAAAAAAAACTCTTAGTATTATCAAACGTACGGTTATAATTATTTTTTTCTTTCCATTCGTCGTTCTTCCTATAATTCATTTGTGTATATGGGCGCCCACTAGAATTTCTTTCTTTATGATTGACTCCTTTCCTGTTCTGCGTCTTATCTCATAGTGTATAGAATATAAATTTCTTCAATACTTATATAATATTAAAATAACTTTAGTTTGCTTTTTCTTTGTTGAGTCATCACAGTTTTATTTTAGATATAATAAATAATATCATTGAATATTAAATTTATAGCAAAAAACAAGATGATAGATAATTTAAAATCTACAACTGTATTCAAAGGAGGACAACGTCAAACAAAACCAGTTCGTCGTTTTATTCGTAAATTTACTAATGATTGGTCGATGGATTTTTCTGCTATGTTAGCATATAATTTATTAATTACCCTTCTTCCAATAGCTGTTGCATTATTTGGAATAACGGGTTTAGTTTTGAAAAATTATCCTGATATACAAAATGAAGTCAAAGAAAAAATTATTCATTTCTTTCCAGCTGATAATACGACACAATCTGGAATTAAACAAGTAAATAAAATTAATTTAAAATAAACAAATAATTTTCTTTTTTTATTTTTAAGGTAGTAGATCTTGCTTTTGATCGTTTATCAAAAGATGCCGGTTTAATATTAGCTATTGGTATTTTTTTTGCATTATTTGGTGCATCTCGATTATTTATTGCTATTGATAAATGTATGACTATTGTTTATCGTTTACCTCAACGAACATTTCTTCGACAAAATTTGTTAGCTTTTGGAATGTTATTTCTATTTATAATAATTATTCCAATAATGCTTGCAGCTAGTTCAGCACCGGCAGCTTTAATAAGTATTATACCAGGTGGTGGTGGTCGTTTTGGAACATTTCTTGCTGGAATGATTTTTTCATTAATTTTTGGATTTATTTTCTTTGAAAGTATTTATTGGTTTATACCAAATAAAAAAATGTCATTTAAAGTCACATGGTGTGGAGCATTAGTTGCTGCTTGTACACTTGAAATATTTATTATTTTATTTCCATTATATGTACGAAAATTTATGGGAAATTATGCAGGTAAATCAATCAATCATATTGAATTTATTTTAAATAAATATTAGTTTCTATTTTTTTTTTTTTTATTAGGACAAATTGGTTTTGCAGTTATTCTTCTTCTATTCTTTTTTTATTTTGCTACAATTCTTATTTTGGGCGCACAAATAAATGCTTTCTTTTTTGAACATTATAAACCATTAATTGATGGGTTGGGTACATATATAAGTCGAATGCATCAAGAACATGGTGTTGGAGATCCAACTAGACCTTTGTGTGAAAATGAAACTGATCTACAACAGCATCAATCGGACACAACAACGGCTGATCAATCATTGCATGGAAAAAGATGGTTAAAGAAATTATGGCCGTCAAAAATTACTTCAGCAGAACACGGCAGAGACGGAGAATTATAACTTGAAAATCTCTTTTTTTTTTGTTTGTTTTTGTTGTCTTTGTGTATAAAGATTTTGCTTATTCACGCATTTATATTAAATTTAAGCAATTTATTAATTATAAAAAAGAATCTATATAACAGAATATTTTATTTTGATTTTTTTGATTTGTTTCAGCATTGTATGCTAATTTGACAACATTCATTGAAAATCATGCAGGATAAAATTCAGATAATTTAAACCATTGTAAATAAATTTAATTGACTATTTCATAATCTTCTTCAATATTTATTAACATAATAAGACAATTAACTACTTGATCAATTAATGATTCAGTAGCATTAAATAGTATTTATTAATATCTTAAGATTTCATTTGTACAAAAAAATTGGTTGAGACAAATATAGTCTTTGCATAAATTCATTTATCAGAATATTTACTACTTTTTTTTTCCACAAAATAATCTTTGATTTGAACGATTGATTTAGAATTAATAAGACCAACAAGAAAAAAAAAAACTTCAATAACTAATAGCATAAATATCATTGTAGTATAAAGAAAGAATAGTTTCACAAAGACAAGCGAAAATGAATTTGATTTTCTTTGTTGAATCAATAAGAGAAATCATTCTATATAGACATCTTGTTTTTTTCAAGTCTTCTGTAAAAAGTTTTTTAACACTCATAGCTGTTATTTCATTTATTAAACATAAAATAATTCTCTTTCAATGATGAATAAACAAGTTGCATACTCAGTAAATCTTTCTCATGCTTCCTTGGTAATACCTGAGAATAATATTAATCGTGAATTAATGAAAAGATATTATAGTATGACAACAGTTAAATATTTTGTTTTTGGGCAATTAGAAAGAAACTTTAGAGAATCGTGTTCCAGTCGATTTTAAATAGAAGTAATCGATTCTTTTGAAGACAGATTTAATAATGCTATTATTTACCAATCAGTTAATTATCAAAATATTGCACAATATCTCTTTTATTCAATGATGCGCAACGATGAAATATTCGACGAAAAACAAGCGAAAATAAATTTAAGATTTGAAACATAATAGTACTACGTTTTACTATACTATATGAGATAAGAAAAAGAATAAATACAGACTAGATATATAAGAATCGTTCTAAACCTATGAACATTCTTGAATACGACATTTCCACATGCAAAGAGTATCACATCATGATTGAGGATGATTTGTTAATAACATTTCTCATAGTTCTTGTTCGGCCAAATGGCTAAAATTTTTCTCGCATATATATCTCGGTAGGATCTTTAAGTTTCCAAGGTTTGACATGTACAAATGTTCCTAGTTGATTTCTGTAATATTTTTACAAGTTATTCAATCGTTAGAAAGCGGTTAAAGATTATTTTAACTCAATAAAAATACATTTTTATTTAAAACCTTTTAGATTGAATGACAATTTTTATGTTAAATGTTCAGTAGTTATGAAAACAGACAAGATTGTAAATAGTTTTTATTTTGTCTCAAAACAACATGATGTAGAGTAAATGTCCCTAATAACGATACTAAAAAAATAACATTTCTTGATTGGTTCGGTTCTCAACTATTTTACACTCGATTGAAAATATTTTTACATATGAATAATCTTGGAAGTGCCCTCTTTCAAATGGTGTAACAACCATCTTTCACTGAAATGTAGTGGTCAAGAAATCAGCCATCTACGATAATCACCTGCTTCTATTATTCTTAGGGTACATTTCCTTAATAGCGATACTCAACTGATTTTTCACCCTAGTAAGAATAGCAAGCTGTTTTTGATGCTAATTACAACATAGCTATATTTTGGCGCTAATCATGATGTCCTGCTGCTTTTTTTATCTAATAACAACCAGCTAGTTTTCGACATTAGTCATAATACCGAGCTATTTGTTCATCCGAAAAACAGCACTCGGTCAGGTTTTCATTTCAATACAGACGCATCATTACGAATACACTTTAATAGAATCTATTCACAAGTAATGAATCTATTTATAATCCTTGCATACAGTTTGCGGCAAACTCAACTAGCAACTTTGTTGATCTTATTGAAATCATAGTTTTTCAATCGTTAATAAAACTATTTCTCTTTCATTAATATATATATGCTGCACGTAAAACAATCTGTTTTATCACCAATGGAGTTGTTACGAAGAACAGTAATGCTTATAAATGACCGCGTCTCATAAAAGATTATCATCCATTGGGTGTGAGTGTTGGAGTGTTTGTCCTCGTTTAATCCATACCAAAACCCACACCTGATCACATCTTGACCGATCAAATTTAACATCGCTTTATACTCACGAGAGTGCTCTTTTGAATGGTGAAAATCGCAGCTCTCTAACTGTCTCCTACCAAAAGTTATTGAGAAAACAATAACTTCTCTTTTGTTTGAAATAGATAGTAGTAATAAAGTTTTATTAAATACACGATTAAAAGTAAATTCTTGGAGAACTGATACATTTGATATCTTACCAATGAATAGAATGCGTTCTGGTAGAATAATTCAACCGAAAAATGATTTAAGCAATTGAATTGAATTATTATTTTCTATGGATCAATATCAAAGATTATTTACTAATGATGATCAAGGTTTATTATTTTTAGCAAATCATTCTCGATAAATAGACTTAATTTTATCTTTGGCATAAAGTAATTCATCATTGATGAAAATCTTCTAAATAAAAATGAATCAACATCTCTTTTATTAATGAAATAATTAAAAAAAATATCAAGCTGGAGTTGATGAATGTGAAACGAAATGAAGAAAAAAAGATACATGTGCTTGCTGACAACAACAATAAGATAGATAATAAAAGTTAACCTTTTGTTAATAGAATTTCTTTTTCTGTAAAAAGAAAGAAAAGAAGTTAAAAATGTTCATCAATAATCATCAGCAGAATCATTATCATGATGTTGTTTTTGAAGAACGTCTTAAAGAAAAAAAAATGCTAGTTTAATATATGTAGCTAAATTCAATAAACTATGGTTACAAATTTAAATTGGGATGAGTATAAACTGTGTCAAATACTGGATTATCAGGTATACATCTAAGTGCCTTTTCAAGTTGATCTTGATCTGAAGATTGATCATCAATTATTTCTTTTATTTCCTTAATCTCATCATATGCTATATCCCATGTTAAGTTAGTTTTTTCTGATGCACGTAAACTAAATGACAAATAGGCTAAATTAACTAAATCGATGTTTTTTCCCATTCAATGGCTATATAGCCTTTGTCAACAATACAGTCATAGTATAATCCTAATCATGCTGAATCAATAACATCAGCTTGATTTTCCGAATCTACAAAATTGAAATATATTCAAAATCTTTTAAATTTAATAAAAAATCTTACATCTAGCTTTTTCTTCGTCTGTATTAGTTATCGCAAATCAGATTGATTTCAATATGATAACATTTTAAACTAATTTATCACACAAAATATTTACACTTGGATCATCAAAAAATGTTTTAGTTTGATTTTGAGCATTAATATCCGGATCAATCATTAACGAAAAGGCATGCCGTAAAATATCATATGTTTTTCGTTCACTACCACCAGCAATTATATTAATATTATTCAAATCAGCAACAATTTCATATAAAAGTAATTTAAAGAAATCTTTTTCGACTTTATTTGGTATATAATTCAATACGGAATAAAGTACATCTAGTGTATAAACCATCTTCATAATGTGTTACATCATGATCAAGATAAGCAAAAGGCTTATCTTGATAGGTTCTACTCAACAAAAGAAATTCGCAACTTCACGCACCATAAGTACCAATATTTGTTGTCGTAATAAGTGGTACACTGTCGACTATCTGTGCACAATTGTGCATTAATTCTACAAAATAATAACAAAGCCGAAATTAAAGTATTGAAAAAAAAGTATAGTAAAAGCATTTTAACATCGAAAGATGCTTCATTTCAACCTTTCTTATATTCATCACATATAGAAGATGATAGCTGTATTTAAAAAAAAGTAAACATTCAAAAGTTATTTCTGAAAATTATTTAGACAATTCTCTTTTATAAAAAAAAAGAATTTCTTACGAAGAAATTTACCATCATAATAAGATCTTGTCATTTTGGTTTGTTCACCAAATTTACGTTTACCAGCATCATCACCTTAAACAAAACGGAAAGCATAAATAATATATATTTATGAAAGAAAAACAAGAATTAGTCATGGAAAATTTTAATGTACGATACGAATATCTCTTATGCTTCCCTTGATTAATAATGTCTTTGTACAGGAAAAGAATATAATAAAACAAATTTAATTCAATTTGAAATATAAGCTTTACCTTCTTTCATTTCAAATGATGCGTCATGTTCAAGAGGTGTTGTATCTTCAATAGATTTTGTATCAGTAAACATATTTGTATTACCCATTCTTTTTTAAATCGAATTAATATTTTAAATTTTGTTTCCAATACTTTTCGAAAAGTATTGTAATGTCCCAGGTCCAATAAAACGGCGTCGTAAACAGCCTTAAATGGCGTAATAACCATGTAAAACGTTGAAAAACGTCGAAAAATGACGCCGTCATCCGTCATGCCAGATTATGGAAACAAAACCGGGGGAAGACGATGGCCGTTTTATAGCCGTTTCTGACCAGATAAGACGCCATTTCCGACGATCGGAATGATCGACCTGGGGTTCAAGAAAATTCTTTATCTAGAATGCGCATCGAAATTTATATGCAATATGAAATAAAACTGTTGTTATCATATATAATAATTGATTGAAAACATTATATTAAACAAAAGAATTTATAAAAGATGATGGTCTTTTCTTTCCTTTTGTTTATTCTTTGGACGAGACAATATATACATATATTTTGTTATTTGAAAAATCTGCGAATAAACGTATGTGTCTAATCGACAAAATTAGAAAGAAAAAAATTTTATTTATGTAATTTGATTTGATAATCGATTCGTCCATAGAATATTTGTTCATTTTATATGAAACAATATTTCCATGTCATATTTATTCAGTGATAAATTCAAATGTATAAAATATCAGCAGATATTTTTTTTATAAATGAATCGATCGTAAGTGATCTTAACAAATACTTGAAAATATTTACAATAATCAACTTTGTATTTGTAAATCAAAAAAGTAATTGAGAAGTGACTAATTCGATGGTATTTTTATCACGTAAACATGCATTTTTCAAGTCGACCGAAAGTTATCTTGTCTTGTGGATTTCAATGAGTTGTATCACATCTAGACTAAAAGATCAGGTTAAACAATTGCTTCTTTAGGATGATATGGATATTAAAATATATTAATATTACACTTTTATTTGTTCTTTCCTGAAAATCTTTTTCGAATATTACTATCTGGTACAAATCTGTTTAATGAGACTCTCAGCCATAAATTAACACAATCTAATATTTGTTGCTATGCAAAGGTTTTCGGAGGAGATACATGTACTTTTATAATACTTCTGTTCAAATTGTACATGCATATCTATGATATCTGTTTCATTCATTCTTTGATTTAAATATCGTTATTTTGCAATTGCATTTTGTTCACGATCATGATGAACAATCTTTTTTCTTGACATAAGAAATTCCTGTTGATTAAAAGAATCTTTAATCTAATGTACAATGAAAATAAGTCATGATACTGCAATATTTTTTGCAGATTTTTGATAGTTTTGTTTTTAAATTATTCTAGTAATTGTTTTTCTATGCATCTTCGTGATAGATACATTGTGTATATTCATTCCAAATTTTGCCTTGTTTGCTTGAGGTGACGATATATTTATATCTTTTTTTTCAAGATTCATTGTTGACAATCGAAAAATATTGACATATGGCTTGTTTGATGTCGACTATGACGTCATCATGCACGAGATTATTCTCTATACCTCATTTCTCTCGAACCAATAATTGATATCCACCAAGTGAGAGAAGTGTCCAAGGACTGAGGTTTGGGAATTCTTCCAATTCCTAAAAACACCAGCTATACGTGATAATTCCCCCGAGAACCTGCGAACTGACCCTCAAACACTTCACAAAACCTTGTCAGTTCCCCCATCGATTTCTTCTAATGAATAAATCTCAATTGAATATGATGCCACTGGTGGATCCACCATGACGGTCATTCGGCCATCGCTAATCTCCTGAGAATAGAAGTGATGGCGGAATTTTTTAAAATGCTTGGATAATAAGTTAAAGATGAAATTTTATTATGGAAAAAACGATGGATGGATTTTGTTACAGAAACTGGTTCTATTCCATTATCACCTTGTTCAACTACCAGCAAGACCACAATCAAAGTGAAACGAAAAGAAATTCTTTTACCGGATACAGCGATTGATGCTTATGCTGCTTGTCCTGAATCATTTTTATCTTAATATAAGAAGTTTATTGAAAATATTCGCAACTCTACCAGTGACGAGAGCAACTATAGAACGAACATTTGCAGTGCTGAAATTACTGAAAACTTATTTGCGTTCGACTATGTCTGAAACACGACTAAATACTTTAGCTATGTTGTATATTTTTAGACATTTATATGTAAATATTGATACGGTGATCAATGAATTTGCTAAATCTAATCGTCGACTAGTTTTTTATGTTTTACTCTTTATGCTTATTTCGAAAGAAGCTGTTTTTTGTTTGCATGATATTATAAATGTACTACGTAAAAGCACAATGAAAAATTGAAATAAAAAGAGCACTTTAATTTACGTACTTTGGGGTGGGTGTGGGTGTGGGTGTGGGTGTATCGGTTTCCTTTTATATGCACCCACACCCACACCCACTCACACCGACATCTACACCCACACCCACACCCACACCCACTCTACACCCACTCCCACACCCACACCCACTCCACACCCAGACCCACACCCATTCCACACCCAGACCCACATCTACATCCACACCCTTAGACAAATTTAGCTAATAAAGAGTTTTATATGTGTAATTGCAGGGCTAAAATTAGATTAGAGATGTTCAATAAAAGATTTTTGTGTCAGTTGGTTTTTAAATAACAACCATTTGATGTTGTAATTCTTTCTGTTAATCA